AAACTTATTAGTCGCTCGTGAAAGCTGGTGCACTCTTAAGGACCAAAAATTACCTATAGACGTAGCTTACATCGATTTCAGCAAAGCTTTCGACAAAGTTCCGCATAACCGGCTGTTATATAAGCTAATGAATGTCGGGATTGAAGGCAATCTATTGATGTGGATAAAAGACTTCCTAGTTGGGCGTCAACAAAGAGTAAGGGTGAACTCCAAGTTGTCTAGCTGGGAAACTGTGCTTAGTGGAGTCCTCCAGGGTACAGTTTTGGGGCCATTGTTATTCCTCCTGTACATAAATGACCTCCCTCGTCTACTATCGTCATCGGTCTTACTCTATGCTGACGATGTCAAGATATGGAGAGCGATACAAAGCAAGGGCGATAGCTTAGAACCTAAAAATGATCTGGAGAGATTATCTGGATGGTCCCAAACCTGGCAATTGCCGATAAACACTTCCAAGTGTATTGTGATGCATATTGGCCACCAGGGTACAGATACATACACGATGAATAACACTGAGTTACCTATTGTCCAGGCACACAATGACTTGGGCGTCATCGTCAGTCAAGACTTAAAGACTACTGCACACTGCTGTGCAATAGCCGCCAAAGGTTTTAGAACTTTATGGTCCATACGCAGGGCTTTTAGGCATCTCGACGCTAAAAGACAGTGAACTCTTGGAAAGGGTTCAGAGAACAGAAACTAGGCTGATTCTCGGAATAGCGAAGCTCCCGTATGGTACTAGACTGACCAAGCTAAACCTATTCCCGCTGTCATATAGAAGAATCAGAGGCGACTTGATTATAGTTTTCAAATTGCTTAATGACAAATTTGCACCTGATATGCCCTCATTTTTCTTGTCTTCCAAAACAGAAAATCTACGAGGACACTCCAAAAAAGTTCACAAACCTAGAACGAATTACTTGTCAGCTGACTACCGACTTTCCCATCGAATCATCAACGAGTGGAATTCATTACCTCAGAACGTGGTTGAGGCTCCATCCGTCGACTCCTTCAAAAGAAAGTTGGATCAGCTGAGAGACCATCATTGCCAGGACTAACACAGGTCATCAAGCCTCCTGTTCTTTCAAACTGAAACTGAAACTGAAACTGAAACTGAAACTGATATACATAGTACGTTTTGCCTTTTTTGTACTGAAAAAATGCGTAAACGTGATAACACAAAATAAACATGCACATTAAATGTTTTAAATGTTGTATGTGTGTATAGCTATGGTAAACTGTGGATTTCGAAACTAAAGTGATAATTGATAGCAAATGTGTAGACCATAATTTAACTGATTGCATAATCACTTTGTTTTGCAATTGATCTGTCACAGTCACAATGATAATGAAAAATAAGTAAGTATAAAGTAAATGACATAAATCTGGTTACGTAACAGAACGTGTGTGTGTGTGTGAAAATACAGGTAAATATAAACATACACTAAAGCGGTTGCTATAGCTCTACCGAAAATAAGCCATGCCATTGTGAAATAAAATCGAGCAACAATTTTGATTTTGGCTAGATAGACATTAAAACCTAGGTGACTATGATATGTTTATTTCATCCTAGTTCTGGATACCTCAGCAGTGAACATAGTAACCACAAATACGAGACGGGCTTGAAACACTTTAGTAAGTCTTATAAAACTAACTTATGTGCTATACAATTTTAAATTTTAGTCCTAAGATTATGTGTTTATTGTCTTATGGTAAGATTCATCTATGCACCCATTAAAGCAAGTATGTATGATTATATGCATGCATCCACCAACGTACTCATTTCAATTGACTGCATATATATCACTTGTAAACTATCTATGTACAAAGAGAGCTAACAATCACTAATTCTCTTATATATATATATATATATATATATATATATATATATATATATATATGAATTGCGATGACATCAGCTATGTGCAATAGACGAGCTCGTAAACCATGTGGCAAATTTGATGGAATATGGTAGATAACCTTAAAAGCTTTATTCAGTTCAACCTGATGACCTGTGTCCACCAAGTGAGTGAGAATAGAACTCTTAATCCCCTTTACCTGTCCTTTGCTCAATGATTTGCTCTGATGACATTATTTTAGATGAATTGGTTAATATTCGAAACTTGCTTAGTAGGAATGGGTACTCAATGAAGTTCATCGACAAACACATGACGGAGAGGAAAAGAAGGACAAGGGTACCTACCGTTCCGAAGAAGGTATTGTTCCTAAAGTTACAATTCTTAAATGATGCTACGGCAGAAATCTTGACACAGAGGTTAAGAAGGGCAGTACAGAAAACATTTAATGCAGCCCGACTGAGTACCATCTTCTACAACCGCCCCACAATAAGATCTGTTAATAAAGACAGATTGCTTGAATTCGCCACATCTATGTGTATTTACCAATTCAACTGCTCCTGTGGAGCCAGTTATATAGGGCGTACAATTCGGCAAGTTCGTTAACGAATAACAGAACACCATCCGTCGTGGTTGAGCAAAGGACAGGTAAAGGGGATTACGAGTCCTATTCTCGCTCACTTGGTGGACACAGGTCATCAGGTTGAACTGAATAAAGCTTTTAAGGTTATCTATTATATATATATATAGTACAAATTAATTTGTTCTCTCTTGCGAATTTTAACTATTACCGAACGCTATCATCTGCTATATATTTTTGAGGACAGCCAACTTAACCATGACTATTATTCACATTTCTACTTCCCAACAAACTTCATATAGAATTCCTTAGCTGACATAACATTATTTCGTTGATTGACACCTTACTGAGAAGTTGGTCAGATATAGAAACATTTTATAGCTGTTTGCTTTAAAAAGTCGTGTGATTTTTCTAGGTTTGGTTTAAGTAGTACATTTCTCACCTGTTCAGCAACTTGTTTCATAAACACTCTATGGTATAATTTATTATTATTAACAATCGTAATAATTCTGTCAAGTAGAATTTGCTTTTTTGTAATTTTAGCAAATTTATCGGACAGAATAATATAGTCATTCTTACATTAAGAGTTGTCAACAGAAATATTCCTACAATGCTATTGTTTAGATGAATGAGCTAACCAGCTTAACAACAATGAGAATCGGACATTAGAAACACAACTGTCTACAAATAATGTCCAATGACAGTGTTATTTGCATTTACATACTCAAAACTAATCATTTCAATAATATTAAATAATAGTGAATTCTTTTAAAATTTAAGCATATTTGCTTAATGAATGAATGAATGAAGCAATGAACATATAATGATGTATTAGAGATATAAGTGATTGATTTTCCTTCTTTTTCTGTTCCAAATGTAAAGTGTAATTTTATGGTAATAAATGTTTTCAAGTAATTAGTGTGTGCACAGTGACCAAAATAGTGTGATTACTGATCATTGTGACGTAATAAAACTTTATTTTAAAAAAAATCAGATCAAAAGAACACGAGGAAAAATAAAACTTCCAATCATTATTATAAATAAGTGCAAATATTAGAATAATTGTTAGTTGCAATCGTTCCCTCTTTTGTTTCGTTAATTATTATGCAATAAATGCAATAAAAATATACTTAAAATCACAGTGTGTGCAAGAAAAAAATAAAATACAAGAAATATGAATATCCTCTACTTCAACTAGTAACAAGCATCCATTATGAATACTAATCACTATATAAAAAATTGAAGATAATTATAATATAGTATAGATTGGAATAAGTGCACATAGAATAGGGATGATATGTATGTGCAAGCAAATATAAGGAGAAGATGAGGATAATTCTTTGAAATGAAATTTCTAAAGGTCATATTCTGACTTTCTTTCATCTGGTAACATTTCTAAAGAAAACAAATTCTTCTTTAATACATTCAACACTGCAGATCATGAGAGAGAGAGAGTCAGAACAAAGAATCCAGAAATTTCATTTCAAAGAAATAAACGGATAAGATGGAGAGTAAATGAATGAGTGAGACAGAGAGAGGAATACTAAGTGAAATCTAGCTCAAATAAATATTGGATTTTCGCTTTTAGCCTTATTCAACTTGCAAAAAAGTAATCATTTATGTATTAAGAGTTCAATAATTAGAATTGAGAATTTTGTAAATTGTTCATTTTAAAATATAATAAGTAGTATTAAGCAACATAAAAAAACTTTAGCTGATACAAAATGTGATTTAGTTTCTAATTTATCAACAGTTAACAAATAGTTCTAATAACATCAATAAGTGGAAAAGAACACAGAGAGAGGGAGGGAGGGAGGAAGAGTAAAAACACGTTGAAGTATCATAGGTATAATTTTTCATAATTATATGTAAATTGAATAGAAGAAAAAATTGGCACAAAATCTTTAAAACAAAGAAAAAAACTCTTAATTAGATACATACAATGAAATACTTTTCCTCCGTTTATACCTTATCTCCTATTCTATAGGTGATATGAGTTTTTCTTTTTTAATTATCTTATTCAGATTGTTCTAGAAATGAATAGACTCTTTTAGTGAAGTATTATGTTAAATAATGATTTCTTCATGCATAGTTTTACATTCAACTTTTCATGAGAAAAAAAGAATCTATCAAATTATTTAGCTTTAATCTTAGTTGTGAAAAGGGAATTATAAACATAAAAGGATTCCTTTATGACTAATGTAATGTTGATAATTTCTTGATAAAAAAACAGACTAAATGTTATTTCTATGGGTGTAAACTATATCATTATATACATGGAAGATTTTTGGAGACTTTTAAAGTTTGAAAGTTAGTTTCATCACAACACATGAAGGTGCTGGACTTGACATTATAAAGACTCGTGATTGTGAATTACTGAGGAGCTTGAAACTAGGACAAAACCGCTTTTGAACGCTATCTTAACTCTCAGTGATTTGTAATGGAGATTAGTTGAAATGCTTTTCCACTCATTTATATAAGTACATACTAACAAGACTGTATATAATAATAAACCAAGTCAAAAAAATTTTTGTTTAAGCTCTGTTTTTTCGAAAAAAACATACCTGTGTGTCTGGTTGACCTGGTCCGATCACTGCTGCACCACGTTTGACAACATCGGCAAGTTCTGTAATACGTTCAACAGCTATATGTGCTGTATTCGCTAATCGTGCTTGATCCTCACCAGTTCCACTGACCAACGATTGAGTATCATCGACAAGAGCACGTGCAGTACGAGCTATACTCTCTCTAGAATCAAATCAATACAATGATTAATATGTTGTAATTATTTTAAATTAATTATTTGAAATACTCAACTATATAAATAGAAGAAAACTGTAATATTCTACGGGGTGAATTTCTATACTTTCACATTTAATTCTACTGTGAACTGTTGGTGTTACAAAAAAGGAATAATAATGAAAAATGTAGATGTTTATATATTAAGAAGTTTGTGATGGCAAAATATAACTATGTTAAAACTAGTTATAATTTCATTAATTGACTAACCTACAGAACAACGGAAAAGTTATTTATTCATTGTATAATCACGTATAATGACGGTTAGAACCTCGTTAATTTGAATAACAAAATGTTATGATGTATTCCCCTCCCCACCTCGATTCTGGAAACTGAACCCAAGAAGTTAGACTTATCTTTTTTAGGAGGAAAAGGTCGTCTGCTAGACCAATCAGACATAAGCCACAAAGTACGACTATCTCATCGGTTAAAATTTGGTTTTATTTCCTAGGAAAGAACATACTATTTAGTTGAAAATGCGACTTGATTTTCATATGGAAAAACGAGTAGTTATGGGTAAACATAAATTCAGTTTTAGTGAATTCAGTATTCTTTCCCCTCTTGGCATTCCCAATGAAGCAACTGATTCGCACTCGGATGTAGTAAACGTGTATATCAGAAGCAAACGCGTAAGCTAAAAAAACTTAACAAGTTATCCTTCTTGCATAACTAGTGAGCTCTCAGAAACTTGATCAATCACTACTAGTTAAAAAAATGGTCGAGGCAACCTGATATTTCGAATAGAATAGTTATTACGTTTTCGAAAAAAAGCCATTCAGGATAGGAACATTGAAAAATTGGTCTAATGTAATTCACAAATCAGGTACACATTTATATACATTTATATATATATATATATATATATATATATATATATATATATATATATATATATATATATAAGCTTAATGGAGATACTGACTGTTTGAATAAAATGTTTGCTGATGATATTATAGTTACTACATGATATAAAGAAATGATAGCTTTATCAGAAAACAATTATGTAGAAACACAAAAATTCTCATTTAATATACAGTGTGTGTGTGTGTGTAGAATTTCGACAAACATAAAAAAGTACAAGTATTTATAAACAATTGTCTGCGTAAGATACTCCATGTCCGTTGGCCGCATACCATCAGTAACAGTCTACTGTGGGGGGGGGTAGTAAGTGGTGTGGCATATGTTACTTATGTTGACAGATATAAGTGGTATGTAACACCAATCAGAAGTGGAATGCATGGCAACAGAAGACTGAGAAGATCGAATTGAAGAGATCAGAAATGTAAACAGAAAGTGATTGTAATAACAACAGGAATGAATGAACGATGAAGTTTGTAAGAGAGGACTGACGGAAAATGTCTAAATAAAGTATATAATGTATCGTTTTCATATTTTCCAAAGACACTGTCGTTTTGCATCAAACAATAATTTGGTCTTCCTCACCAAGTCTTCGTTCGCTACAAGTGTGTTTTAATTCTGTCCAACTTATAACCCAATAGTGTCCTTGCCTATTCTTAACTCTTTACAAACGGATCACAGCACATCTGACATGGTCTTGAGTGAAACAATAACCACGATATTCAATGCATTAGACGTAATGCACAGAAAAATATAAATTTAACCGGAATACTAAGGAAGTTAGCAGAGAAAATAAAAAAAGTACAGAAAGACAACAACTGTCTTAAGTGAAAGTAAATAGTTGCAAGATAGATAATCAAGCAAACGGAATTAAACAAACATCAACGATTAAATACTCGCAACTTTCCCATGTTTTCTACCTATAAACAGCACATTTCACCCATGATATAACACAAGGTAAGCTGTGAAATTAATTCAACCAATATATATTTAGTGAAACAAGGAGGCCACATTACCTTCAAGTGCTGAGAATTCTGAAACAACCAAATTACTACTAGAATATTTCAAAACAAATATTTAAGCTTACTTACTTACACCTGTAAGCACTTCAACTAAACTAGTAGATAATTACCTTAAAGGAGTGAAATTCTCTACATTATGCATTTCTGATCGACTTCCAGCACGACTTGGTATACTAGTTCCATCTGTATTGTTCGATAATGCCAAATAATGACCTCGATCAGCTGTTAATCGTGAATGACCAAACTCATTATCAGTCCATATTGCATCAAAATCATCACGAACAGGTGGATGTAGCGTGCCTGAACTAGCAAACAGGATAGTTGTATCTAAATCCGAAATAATTCCACTAACTGTGCTAGCAGACTGTAAACAAGCTTGTGTACCAGGACCATGAATTTCGAGCAAGTTGATCAAGTTGCGCAACTGCATGAAAAAGATAATACAGAAATGTAAATCAATAACAATGATATGGTGAATCTTTTAGTTTAGGTGTACTAACAAAACATGAGATTTCCAAGACAGCAACACATTACACTACATAGTCAATAAAAAGATTTTACAATTATGCAACAAAGATAAACTGACTTAATGTTCAGGGAATATTGGTATAATGAACTTTAATGAATCACCAGGTAGAACTACACAAAAACAGATTAATACTACTAAAATTACTAATGGATATCTAGTTATACAAAAATCGAAGTGACAATCTCCTAATAACTTAGAACAAATCAATTGATTTTCACTGACTTTTCATTGGATAGCTGGAGGAGCTTTAGGGGAAGGTTCGAATTTAAATGATGTACTCGTTCGCATTCATATGAGCGGTAGCTCGATGCTTAAAGCTTGAAACTTTCATCCACTAAGTCTTAGATTTGAACCCTGCTCCATCTACGTAGTTTTGAATAATCAGGTAGTATTACTAGCCCTGATACCTAAAATGTGGCTCCAAACAAAATACATGAATCACTACCCTGTCGCCAAGTAATAATAAGTAATAACTTATTTACATTCATTAATAGAATGTACTTAATCTCAAAGAGAAAATTTATATTTTCTATAAGGTTCAAAGTCATGTCACTAAAGCAGGGTATAAACAATAAATAATTTGAAACCTCGAAAGCTATTCTCTCTGGCTAATCAGTATATAAAATGTTTATTTATAAATTAATTAGTTTCTAGTACTTTTGTGGTGGACAAGAACACGAGTGGGGACAATCGAATGTATTTAAGCACAAAATTACAGGATAGCTAAATAAAATATGAGAACCATATAGTAAGTAGTTAATTTGCAAACTATCAATTAATTGTCTCAATCTTGAACATTTCTTCTGCAAATATCAGTCTATAGTCTCCGATTATTATTGTTCACACATTTTCATACCAAATGTGTTTCGTTCCCGTTCTTTCGTCATCGATCTTCTACTGAAATATATTCAATGCCCGACCACCATTACATACAACTTATGTGGATATAAGTAACCCACATCACACTTTTAATTTTATGTTTACTGTAAGCTTTTATTTAAATAATTAACTGTAACTGAATCATTTATCGTTCATAAACTACAGTAAATTAAACCCGAACATGTTACTTAGTTATGCATTATTAAATATCCTTACTGTGTACATAATGAGATATGTAATTTATACTGAGTTGTAGCTTTGCATCTTATGTGCATAATAATTACGTAATAAGAATCCAGAGTGCTTCATGGTCTTTCCAGTGTTGTGACTGAAAGACTAGCAAAGAATAAAAAATGTATGCAGGAAATCGATCGTTAGTGTTTACAATATAGAGAGGAGTTACTGGACGTCGCAGTGTTAATGGTTGTATGCACAAGGACTTCAAACTTTTAAGAAAGATTTTTTCTCAACTAAACTTTGAGGATTTACCGATTTGAAGAAAAAAATTGAAACGAAAAGGAAATAACGAATACTGATTAATTCATTGAAAATACTACATAAATATCTTGTATATTTCTTTCATCAAAGATAAGAAGATAAAAAGCTTTACACTTACTTTTGAATCTAAGAATTCAGCTCGTCTGTCCAGCTCAACTATACTTTTATTACGACTTAAAAGTAGATGTTGACCACCTGTTGTTGTTCCCGATCCATATATATCGGGACGACTTGCACTTGTTGCTTGTATTAAACTTATACACGCTGTTCCAACACCACGAACAGCTGATCTCAATTGATCCGCTTGATTGACATCGGGTAAAGTTGCAGCAGCACCTTTACAAGTTTGACACATTTCTTGGTATTCCTAATAATAATAATAATAAATGAATAAATAATAATATAGACGGAACTTAATGTATAGGGTTGATTCCATGAGGTATTTTTAAGATGAGTGTAAACTGAAATTCTCCTCATCAGCCATTTTTAACTTAATCACTATTTTCGCTGTCTATGCAACAGTATTTCATCTATATTATAAATAAGTTATATATCTGTACAATAATCCTACTTATATTTGATATGTATTTATATTAATATGAAATAATTAGTTATTCCAACTTTCATTAAAAATATTCTAGACAAATTCAGATCGTATTATGTATTAGTTAGATACTTTATCGATATTTATTAATTGCTTGGGAATTGTTTCTTTGTTATCGATATGGATATCGGTTGAAAGAATCACTAAAAATTAAAGAATACTAGATAATGTTATTTTAGATTAAGCATTTTCCGACAGCACCATCATCATCATACGGAGATGATCCCAGAAATTTAATTCTTGAAAAAAAAGATAATCTCATGTGAATTCATGAATGAATGTTATGAAGTGATGTTAGACAGTCTCAATTCAAATATAATAGTAAAGTTTTTGAAATTATCTCAGAAATGTCAATTCGGCTACACTAATTCGTTTTCATGACTTTATGATAAGAACAGGCTCTGACAAAGTGGTATACAGAATACTAGCGAAAATCTCATAATTAAACTGTCCAGTTTGGATAATGTGACCTAAAATAATTAACACTGATTAATTTGAGTCACTTTCTTAATGCTGCAGACTCGATTTTGCCAATATTTTGTTATGAGCTCGAATAGGGAACTTAAAACATAAATTTCATCCTTACTTCAATCCATCAATAATATTTATTCGCAGTACATTGATACCACATATCATAATTAAAGACGTCACTACTGAACCGTAAAACAATTGCCACTAGCCCTCCCAGATGAAGTAATTGAAAAAACCAATGAACTACTGGATAGTAAAATAATATATAGTCTTATCTAAACTCTAATTCTAGATAAGGTGTTTTTGTCAATCAATCAATTATTATTTATTTATTTCAACAAATAAATATTGGTACAAAGGGGCACCACACACATATGCGCCACACAAATCTCATTTGATTTGTGTGAGAGCTATAATACTGCTCAGGTGTCCAAACTGAAGCAGGTGGTTTTCTTAGGGGACCACACTCGGAGCCTTTCACCTGAAGATCTGATCCACAAGGCAGTGGAGCATCGTGAGAAGATGAAGTCCTATGGTAACCGGTGACCAACGATTGGTTCATACGCCATTTGTTCCTTCAGGATACTGGAGTCCATGTACACCATTGGTTTGGAATCAGGGTTTTCCAACTCCCCTAGGTGGACTTGCCGTGTCCACCAACCCGGTTGAAGCGCCGGACATTCGCTTTTCGTCCTCTCAATTTCGTAAACAACAGTAATGCCACGAGAAGGCAGTGAGTAGGACTTCCCTGACAGAGGCTTTATATTCGCGTGGCCATGTGAGAGCATTTCGAGAGGGAGAGCGGACTTTCCCCACTCTCGGCCATACCAGGGCATTTGGGGGCTTGTCGATCAATGAAGCATGTAGTGTCAGTAAGCTGGATGATTAGAATATAAGCATAATAATTATTATTCACTCGCTACAGTTAACTAGAAAATATTATGTTTATCACTATTTAACGGTCGATTAAGGATTATTTAATGTACTAAGCATCAGTCAGAAATTATATCAGAGCTAGAGAGAGAGAAACTATTACAGTGTTAATGAACACAAATAACAAGTTACTTACGTCAAATAAATTAATTTTTGGTTCAACTTTGATTGGAGTTTAAATTTTGGATGGAATAAAACTATAGTCATTTCATATTGTATTTAACCTTCACATCATATAATATAATGACTATTCGGTTTGTTTATATGAAATAAAACTTATTTTTTTAAAAAAAAACAGTTTTTCATCATAATCTGTTAAAAAAATTGTTGTGAAACTTAATACGCAAGGGTTATTATTACTGTTATTATTATTATTATTATTATTATTATTATCATTATTTACGATTTCGATAATTAATATAGTTAGTATTTAGGTAAACTGTAAACGAAGCATGTATGAACATGCAGTTCACGTTCAGTTTAAAAAAAATACAGGATGTACATTTTCATTGAAAAGTAGGTATACATACACATAGCAAATACATGAATATCCGTTTCTAAACATAAATTGAACAATTAAATGACTAATAATAATAGTAGTGATAATAATAATAATATCAATAATGGTGAGAACAACATAAGTATATGCCAAAAAAAGGTAACCAATACAACAATTACAAAATGTTATGATGGTAAAATTAATAATTGAATAGACTATGTACAAAACAGAAGTATTTTAAAATTATCGAAAAATATAGACGAATACTGATCACAGCAGTTTTCATGTAATACCATATATTATTAATGTCTTCCAATAGCTGATTAACTATTGTCCAAAATTAAAATGTCCCGAATTATTCCTGCCTCTTCATACTCTCGCCTAAAACACAACGTATATTCCCTAATGCCTTGTCTGAATAAATAAATATTAAGTATCACAAATAATACTTGAACTAGTACTGATGTAGAAAGAATAAGAACATATAACCAGATATGATATTTAGTCGATAATTGGTCTAATGAAAACAGTTTATATCTCCATAGAGAGCATCTTTTAAACTGATACACTATCTACCCAACAAGTATCAAAATCAAAAAGTACACAAAAGAAACTTGTGTATAAAAAAAACTGCAAATGATTAACAGATAGTTATACGTAAACAAAGTATGACCCAACTGATATATGTATCAGTTCAAGTTGCCCCAGTTTACATGGGCACATAGATGTAGAAAGAGAGAGGGGGAGAGAAGCAAATGCTATAAAAAAAACAAAAGGGTGACGATGATGGAGTCAATAGTTTTGGAAAATTAGTAAGAAGGAATTGTGTGAGAAGACATATGAACAGTGGGGAATTATAAGGTCGAATAACAACTAATCTCAAGTTATACAAATGGTTTTAGTAAGTTAAAATTATAGTGTACAATATTCTGGCTTTTCATTCCCAGTGGGAATAGCAAAGGCAATCAGGAATATGGTTATATCAAACTGACGAATATCGACTAGGACAAGAACTATTGCTTAGACTCCATTGTCATACATCATACACCATTATGTCTAATCCTACTTCTGTAAAATGTCATGGAAATGATGCATATATATATATATATATATATATATATATATATATATATATATATATATATATATATATATATATATATATATATATATATATACTGAAATTGAAACTAAATTAACTGTTTTCTAAAAGTCATGTCCAAACAAGATATAAGCAGTTTTTAATGATTAGCATATTACACGAGTAAGAGATTCCGAAATTAATCACCGTTAACAAACACAGCTGAAACATATGCACACAAAAAAGAACATACTACACTAAACAACATAGACCTTACCTGTGTTAAATTATGCGCCAATGGAGCAATCTCACCATCCGAAGCAGGTTGTCTAGCACGTAATTGAATAGCTTGATTCAACTGATCCATATGTCGAGCGATTCTTAACATACGTGTTTGATAATCAGAAAATCTTGCATCCACAGGAACTTGAATAATTTCTTCAGCCTATCCAAATAAAGTGATAATAATAACAATAATAGTAAGCCATACGTATAACAGTTATCTTACAAGGAATGCAATTCTACATACAATAGACTAATTTTACTGTTACAGTTACAAGATCAATCAAGTCGAGGACAATAATAACAACGATTGCTCGTATCAATATCAATGCAGAGAACACATCTGATAAACAAATGAACAAGAGATAGAAATCAATGTGAAGTAAAGTTTTAATTTAAATGGGCTTTGTTATATTAAATATCTCAATTTATGTTACAACGAAACAGTCGTTTATCTATCTCTGATTTCCAATAATTTTCCTGATGATCATGCTCGTGATAAAATCTACTCCTTACCAATCTTTAAAATGAACAAATCACAATAAATTACATTTTGAAAAAACAAATATAGAGAAATAAAACAAATTAAGAACAAAACACATACTTGTGCTTGAGCGCGATTCAAAGTGTCAATAAGAGTGCTAACATGACCTTGACGAGAAGCTACATCATCTAATATGGTTAAAAATTCTTCACATGAATCCACCAAACCACGAACAGATTCATTTAAACTATCATGAAGATGTACAGCCTAAATAATAGAAAAACAAACAAACATAGAAACACAGTCTTTTAAGCTAGCTTATCAACACACAACAATAACAATGCAATCAGGTTTGAATATCCAAGCATAATGAATAAAAAAACCTATCATATAAATCAAAAGCCTAACACAATATTCTACTTACTCTAGGATTACCACCAGAATCCTTAGAAACAGTAACTAATTGACTAGCGGCTTCTAAAACAGTGCATGCATGATCCAAGTACACTAATTGTGTACTAGACAAAGGTGAACGTGATGCAGCAGCTATAGAACCGGAAACTAAACCAGGAAGATAAGAGTCCCATGTAAGTATAGTACGACCAAGTTGTTCTGCTTCCGAAGAAGCTGCACGCCCCACAGCCGGTGCTGAATCTAATAGAGCACGAACGCTGGTAGCCACTTGCTGTAAATAATAATAATAAACATGTAATTCATTGAAAAAAGAAACATAATCGAAGCATTTGTCAATTACAAGTTATACTTCTGATAGTATCTAAAATTCTGCATAAATCTCAATAAACTAAGAGTCAAACTACATACATAGTGAATAAAAATATTCAGTTAAATAAAGGAATATCCGATAATATGGTTGTTTAAAGTATAACGAATCAGTTGACTAACAGATGGATTATAATTCTATTCAATGAATTAGAAAGAATTATTAGGGATAACCCATTTTAAAAAATTATTGGATGACAGTTTTATATTATCATGAGGCATAAGAGAAACATAAAAGCTTAGAAATATCTTGACATAAATAATAGACGGATGACAAGGAAGGGGTGGAGGAGAGATGGCTGTAGAATGCATACGCATACACACTACATATCTCCAGAACGTATACAAAGTAGGTATGACAGTGGAGTGTTTTGGAGCACAAAGATTCTAAAAGACAAATTAAAAATAGAAAACTAACAATAGGTGAAATTTTATTTAAAAAAACCCTGTTGTTCTTGCCAAAACAATCTCTTCTTTACATAACCAACATACGGTGGTATTACTTATAAAGTTGTCAGATAAATTATTGATCGAATGACTGTGGTTACATGTTTATTTATAATGATGAGATTTAAATAAATTAAGAAAATTATATTATAAAATAAGCAAGTCTCTTTAGTGAAATTTCGTCATATCATTACAAATGAATTAAAAAGAATGTACATTATTCAGAAGTCCATTCCTCAACTGCTAACATCTAACTGGAAAATACTCAATATTTATCGTCAGGATCGATCAAGAAATAAGAAAAGGAAAGTTTTTGAAATACTTTGTTCTAGGAATTTTATATTGTACCAAAAATATAACATTGAATAAAGCCATCAATGATAATAATGTAATTATATTCTAACGATTGTTTCTTTGATACATTAAAATCGACTTTGCAAATCTTCACTCGGTCAAGAACTGGATTTATTATTACCCATTACTAAAACAATTGTGGGTGAAGATTTTACTTCCTATGCTTTAATCTAGTAGGTGGTTCGAGAGTAATGATCGAAAGGAATGCATTTTACTGACTGGTTGACGTTTATCCCAAGAGGGATGTATTTACAATCTCAGGGATTTTTGATGTGTCATCTAAAAGAACTGAGTCTTTCGTACCTACTTATCGCCAATCAATCATAGATTGTTAATTGTTTTTACTCACTGAACAATCAGTAAATCAACTGGAATATTGAGTTATCTAGTCAAATAATAGTTTAACGGTGACATCCTCAATACGTGGTCAAAGTTTGCAAAGTTGGTCATCATTGATTACTGGACCATCTTTCTAGGAGAAAAGAATGCAGAACAAATGTTTTCTTAACAATACAACCAATTGTTAACCACTGTGCAATAAACAAACACTTAGTAAGTGATTTTATATTTCACACCATCCATCATTACTATTTAATCAGATAATTTGTGAATATTTGGGATAGTGATTGGTTTTTGTTATACTGGAGGGTTTTACTAGCTAAGAAACCATTTAAAAGCAGAGAATAAAACACTGGACAGTTGTTTCATAATAGTTTAAGATTTTGCAAGAATAAGACGGTAACTTAAACATGATGTTGGATAAAGATCACTCCATATGTCACTAGTTGACTAAGGTTGAGGATACCAATCAATGGATTCTGATACCTTTTGTCGAAGTAGGGCTTACCAAGCTTACAGTGGTACTCCAAAGACTATAGACTGAATTCTATGTGAACTGTGGATGTACTACATTACTGATGACTTCTAAATCAGACTGAAAGAGTTGTCCAGTTACTTGATTGGCTTTTACTAGTTCCTGAACTGATGTTCACGGTTGATGAAAACAATTGAATCATTGATTGCGGTGATAAAATAATCTGGATAATATCTCTCCCTACTTATTACGAGATATTACTTCGATCTAAAAAACAAACAAACAAATTATCCACTTACTCGTTGAAAACCTTCTTCATTTAATTCACGTCTTGGTGGTAGTCGATTTTCCATACTAGCAATACGAGCATCTTGTAATTCGTGAAGTAATTTTTTAATATTATTAAATACACATTGACATTCACGTTGACCAGGAGCATTTTCACTGTAAATCCAAGAAAAAAAGGAAAAGAAATACACTAGAAGTGCTTGAAAAAGTACTTACTTTCATATTATAAGAGAACTCTACGTTTTGTAACTTGACAATTTATAAAGATCACATTAATTCGCATAATTTTAGTCTTAACAATCAGTTATACAATCATTATACCTCAATTTCATAGGTAAGATTGAGTTCATCTACCTTACAGTATTATGATAATTTATGGTTATTCTACGCAAAATTTTATAGATTAGGAAACATATGAACTAACTATCCAACGTTAATGAAACATTTCATACGATTAAAAGACATAACTAGTATAATCAGTCACTATCTAAACCGATTGACATGTTAGATGATTAGAGGTAGTCAAAAGGAAATCTCGGAGCAAGGTTTGGTGGTAGCTGATGCCCATCTGCAAGGAGTACTTGTAATATTGAGGGGATTGACGGTCAGTGTAAAATTCGATTCATGTTATACACATGTTACCACCAAGCTACTCGATCTACGACTGACCCCCTGTAGGACTGAGATATATTTACAATTGGGTGAATAAGCATATCAGTGTCATTTAAATATTTGAAAAACCTTTCACCCCATCCATAATGTTGGGTTCAGATAACGTTATCTGAAAGAGCAAAAACATAGGTAAACTGATATATAACCATGAACTAGAACTATATACGTGTCTTCTAACTATAATTAACAATGAACTTAAAAACAAATATCCACAGTTCATTTTTATATATTATTTGTAAGCTAAGAGTCAAAGTATCATAAAGATGGTTTCTAGACAAATACTAAACATATTTTAAATGAAGAAAAAAATGAATACATCCATTAAATATCTTTTTGTTCATCATTCATCTATTATTAGCATTATTACTTACCGCATAGCATTAGCCAATACTTTAATACTGTTAGATAGATCTTTACTAGCCGACGAAAATGCCATAAAAGCATTTTCTGATGGTCCCATTCTAGAAGTGGATAGTAAATTTTGAGCAGCTCTTAATACAGTTTGTGTTGCATTAAGACTTTCTAAGCCAGCAACACAAACTGGACGTTGAGTCTGTTTATGAATAAGAAAAAAACAGATGGAATAAAACTATCATTCAAAACAAAAATTCATTGAGAAAAAGAAAACACTTCAAAAACAGTAAAGCATTTGATAAAAATTTAAAGGGGTTAACGTTGCTCTATCAGAATAATTAACATTAAGAACTGATTTCAGCTAGAAAATTATTGAAAACCAGGAAATATTGAACAGTCAGCTGACTCCTCGCTGATGAGTCACGATCTTGCTAGGGATGTTATTTAGGATTTTTAGTCATCATAGAGACAAATTTGTCTATAGGCTACCAGGTTGACATTAGATGGTTCCCATTTTCAATTTCAGACAGTTCTCTATGTTGAGCAAACAGTGTCTGTAGGCAACCCCCCTTTCCACACTTTGATGAATGAAAATAATTCAGCTATCTAAAAGAGAAGTAAGGAGTTAAGAATTATGATCGACAGTGGTTTGGGCACAATTCGTTTAGTCATACAGAAAACTGTAGGCTTTCTCATTAGAAATTGTTAGATATCTGTAGTTGCAAAGCCAAACTGATTTGACTAAACATATCAAAATAATAAGCAAAGATGGATAGTGGCTAGCAGTGGAATCCAGGACGCGCGTTTCGTCCTATTTGGGACTCGTCAGCTGGATGTACCTGCATCTCAGAGTTAATGCTCACTCTGGGACTCGAACCCAATATCTTTCGCTTCAAACGCCATCGCGTTATCCACTCAGCTACTGAGTCCTGATAACCACTTGCTAACTGACCAGTTGCAGTCCTAACGTCAATGGCAACATTCAAACAAACAATACTAAGTGAATAATACTTTATACTTGAATAAAAGTAACAATAGAATTAGAGACTGACCAGTTGCAGTCCTAACACATCGATGGGAAAATTCAAACAAACAATACTAAGTGAATTTAAACTTCACCCCATCGCACAAGCAAGTGGCTATCAGGACTCAGTGGCCGATTGGATAACGCGATGGCGTTTGAAGCGAGGGTACTGGGTTCGAGTCCCAGAGTGAACATCAAACCTGAGATGCAGGTACATCCAGCTGACGAGTCCCAAATAGGAAGAAACGCGCGTCCTGGATTCCACTGCTAGCCACTATCCATCTTTGCTTATCATGCTTGTGAATCAAGGCTATATCGAGGTAATACGCACAGTATGCACATATGCCAATTAGAGACTGACCAGTTGCAGTCCTAACACATCGATGAGAAGATTCAAACAAACAATACTAAGTGAATATCAAAATAATGTTACAGAACCATTCACTACTCAATCTTTAACATATCATTAGTCCATATGTATGTATTCCTTCTTGTATATTCTGTCGCTATTCTCTCTTTTTCCTTTTAGACTTTTTATAGCAGTCGTGTTTGGTAAGTTGAACATATGCACTTGGCCATAGAGTTGCTTTTCTATTTGTTCGATTCTTCATTTCATATATATATATATATATATATATATATATATATATATTCGAGATACATATCTGAAATTCATAAGTAATCTGTAAAGGTATTTACAAGACTTATTAATACCTATGTCATAACTGGCAGAAAATCATAGATATATGTCAAATTATCTCTAGTACTTTTCAGTAACAGTTGAGTTTCTACATAAGATTCCCTTAAGATTACTGAAAGTCATAGATATTTAATGACATACACCAGCATCCTCTAGTTATTTAGTTCTTTCCAATATAAATTGATGAGATACTGACGTTGATGAGCTTGCGAGATTAGATCAGAATCATTTAAAAATTGTAATAAGATGTAAGAAGAATGGTTTTTTTCCATTGAAAGAAGAAAACAACGACTACAGAATGGTGGTAATTGTTTTCACTGGAAGATATCACATATGAGAGATGGAAATGGGAATCTAATAATTCTCACTGGATTCAATTTGCAGTAATATTTGGTAAATTTTAGAAGCCACCAGAATACATATTTAACTAAAACACTAGTTGAATCATTCAATATACATAATAGAAAATTAAATTACCTCTTTAGTTGTATTTGTAATTCGTTCCTGTGAAGTTGTTAAATCAACCAATCGTGGTTCAGTTGTAATTAATTTCACCAAATTTGCAACATTTGCACTGACTGCTTGAGCATTTGCTAGTGTTTGTTGACGATTTGATTCTGACCACTCACCATTCACATCTGTAGCCACAGTACTACCACGATGTTGAATAAGTGATGTGATTGATTGCATAGTTTGCTTTGTTATATTATTCAAACGTTGTCGGGTATCTACATTAGTAGTCTGACTAGCCAATTGACTACATGCTTCACAAAGAGTTTTCGCACTGCGTGCCATTTCAGTCGATAAAGAGATAACCTAAAGTGTAGAGAAAATTAGTTAAATAATAAAAGTACAGAAGTATAGGAATATAGAATAAATTAACAGTTAGACAAAAACTGTTAGTACAATAAATCATAGAGTTAATGTAATCCTTTTTAGATAAGTATACGGTATTGTACTAACGTTTTAGTGTCAAGGTCAGTGATCGTACTCTGGGCCTATCGAAAACGAAATATATGGAATGATGTTCGGATATGTGACCAAATGATTGAAATTTGGATAGTTTAACCACCAAACTATTAATTTGGTATATTTATGAGGAAGCATAGTATGTAATAGACATTAAGGGAAGGGAAATTACGAGTTTAAAACGCTCCTATTTTACATTATGGAACCAAGTGAGTAAATCAAATGAACATTGGTGTACTCAACTTTGATACTACTCGGTCGTTGAAACAAAAATGAATAGTACAACTCTAACTTGCTACCTGATGGTTGAATGCAGAATGCGGTAATTACTGAAGCACTGATCTTATCATTGTCTAACTGAAAGTATACTACTATTAATATACATTACACTCAGAAATATCTGAATATCCTAGGTTCATTTCTTAGTGATTGCACACTGTTAAAGAGTTCCGAATTGCAACAAAGTGGCTGTCTACAGCTCTTCGATTTTCAATCGTTTACCAGTTGACATTATTTCGTGATATCAAAAAGATACTCTTCAAGGTGAACACAATTTTCCAGACAAAAAGTCATATCTATCCCCCTCATATAATTCTTTATAAAGAAATATTTACTTTCACAGTTGAAATCATAAATGATCTTAGCTAGACCACTATGAAAATCTGAAAGTACTGGTACGCAATTTCGTCCCAGAATGAGACACCTCAGGAGTGCGCATCTACGACTCCATACAGAGGAATCGAACCTAGCACCTTTGGTCTCGCGCACGAAAGCTTAACCTCTAGATCGATGAGCCAACATATGACAGTGTGAATGTCTAACTTCAATCAATCCATAATATTGCCCAAGCCTTCACACAGTGCCTGTGATGGACAACTATCTCATACCCGACACGGAGTGAACTCCACCGGTCATATGCTCACTAGTGACTAATTCCAAGATATAACTTCTGGAGTTCTAGTAAGAATTCGTAACCAGTGTAGTTTAACCTGTGTTATCTGTGAGAAAGTCGTCTGTCCCAGGCAATGGATGAAGGGTTTCTGAAGATCACGGATTGATTAAAACTAGACATTAATAATGTTGGATGCTGGGTTCAGTGGTTTAGAGGTTGTGTTCGCATGCGAGAGTGGAGGTGCTGCATTCGATTTCTGTGTGCGTAGTCGTGAGCATGTACAACTGATAAATTTCATACTAGGACAAAACAGAGTTTCAGTGATTTCAGGTTTTTAATAGTGGTCTAGCTAAGATCAGTTAGGGATCTTAATTGTGAAAATACTACAAAATCCATAGATCCCCCACAATAAATGTTTGTTTATTATTAATTTAAATGAAATATATCTTACTTGACGATTATTCACATTTGGTTCGCATATAGCATTACAAGCGGACTGTATTTCTTTTTGACTTTGTATAAATAGATCCAAATCTATTAATGAACTTCCAGGTGGACTGCTTATGCCACTACTGATACTAGTAGCTCCACTTACTCTTCTATTTTCAATACGATCAGCTAATCCAATCAGATAGGCAGTCTAGAAATTATCATTATTAATACAGGAAAAATGAATGAAAACTTCGAAAAAACATATATAAATAATAAAAAAGATGATGACTACGATGAGAATGGTTTAACGAGAGACGGGGTTAAGACTAATTAGTTCGAATTATCATTGGAAGTGAAGTGTAAAGCTTAATAAAATATTAAATTTTGTAAGAGATGAAAAAAAATTATTCCACATAACGAAAATCTTTTTTTTGCATTAAATATGTACAGATAAATTGACAATCATTGTGAGATTTACTGTTAATCTGAAAAAAAAATATATTCTATTGTTACTTTTATTCAAGTATAAAGTATTATTCACTTAGTATTGTTTGTTTGAATGTTGCCATTGACGTTAGGACTGCAACTGGTCAGTTAGCAAGTGGTTATCAGGACTCAGTAGCTGAGTGGATAACGCGATGGCGTTTGAAGCGAAAGATATTGGGTTCGAGTCCCAGAGTGAGCATTAACTCTGAGATGCAGGTACATCCAGCTGACGAGTCCCAAATAGGACGAAACGCGCGTCCTGGATTCCACTGCTAGCCACTATCCATCTTTGCTTATGAAGTATTATTTTAATGAAAAATTATTTTATGCTTTGTTTAATGAGACAATACAAATTAAAATCAAGGCAATAAATTATGTATACATAGTTAGGTTGTTTGCACTTTCCCACACCATATAATGAAAAATTATGTTGCATATATATATAGATGAATGGATTTTTATCATCTATTCATGACCTCTATTTTGTTTATTTCTTTTCAAAAAAGGAAAAAAATATGAACTTCAACTTCCTTTCTTCTGTTGTTATTTTTCATTGTTGTCTACTTACTGTCTATGATGACTAATAACTCTTTTGTGTTCTGTCAATTTTGTCAATTTCCTCTATGTGAACTAGTTGTTATGTGATAGTATGTACCGATAAGGTAATTTGTATAAATATCTATTTCATTGTATCCATTTCCTTTTCATTTAGTATCTGACGTTCAACAGAAATATTTTAGACCATTAATTTACTTATCATGATGATGATCATCATCTTGATACGATTAGATTAATGTGTGCTAGATGAATTTAGTTAGAACATACTTGGCTCATGTAAGAATAACTAGAGTAACAATACACCTAAGCTATTCATTATGACGTTGAAAATGTTACCAACGACTAATTCGGTTACCAATACAGATGGCTTGGATCACCTACGATTCAGGAATAGTTTCATATAGGAAAATTAATTTAGACGGATTAATAATAGTGAAAAATCGTTTGTCATATTTACGAGTTGCTTGTCAATTGAGATTGTTGAAAAAAACACTGGTGTTACATGAATCTATTGAGATTAATGTCAATCACATCTGATGACACTACTCATACAACTTGGTGGTGAAGTACCTAGGTTATTGATAACACTTTCATCACGGATATCATAATGACTTTCTAGATAGAAACTGTATTAACAGTAGTAATAGTAGTACAGTTAGGTAACTGGAGAAACACTTTCATTTGAAATAATATTGTTTTAAAGTGTAAATCAAGTAAATGATATAACATCAAATATCCGGAAACAATAATATTCTATTAGATATACACCATAGTGGAGAAACAGAATTTTAATTCAAATGTAAACACAATTGGCACATGATATGAAATAGCAGATGACACGTTCCATTTTGGAAAAAAAACACGAGATGGACTAAATAGACAACAATGATCCTTCTGTATGTAATTTCACTGTCTTTCAATTGTGTGTAGTCTACTCTATAAAAAGTATGTTTATGAGTCATTCTGCTAATGAACGTTAATCGTAGAAATATTAAGAAAAGGTCAGAAATTGACATAAATAATCAAATAAACTAGATTAAATATCTATACAGTAGGGTAAATAAGACAGAGATGACCTGAGGTAAAAGAAATTTACAATGAATATAATGAATAGATGAAAAATTATCTATTTAATAGGTATATATATATATATTATCTACTTGATTTCATTTAGTTAATGAAAAAGCTATCAACTATCTGTATAATTAAGGTCAAGTTTAACAACAACAAAAAAGAGAGATAATCATGATACATATTAAGTCTAAATATTTTAACTAAAGAAAAAGTGATTAATTGACTGAGTTTAATACATTACTAAATGAATTGATTGAATTAGTTATATTATCAATAATGTTACAATTCCATTCAGTAAGGTAGATACAAAACAAAATAAGAATAAGGGTGGTTGGGTGGTTAACTAGAGATTATATAATAATCTCTATTTCATAAATAGACAAATAAATTTAATCATTCAACATAGTATTCAATACAAACAATACCAAGTGAATTCAACCTAGTAGTTTGATAATGTCATTTGAATAAAAATGGTATATCAGATAACTATGATAATTTACTTGAAACAAATTAATAATAACATAGACTAATTCGTTTATTAAAAGCATAGAGGTAATCATTCTAAATGAATATGGTATGAATCTATTTTAGAGAAAAGGAAATTTGATATCTATTCCAACTAATGAACATTATAAATAGTTATATATATATGCATGAAATAAATATTATACGATGTATTGGAAACAATTTTTTTTGCAAATAGTTGTTTTGTAATTGAATTCATTCCGGATAAACTAGTATAACACATAAGGTAAAAGTTGGGGTAATTTGATTGTTATTCAAAAATAGAACAATGTACATATTGTAATAGTCTGCTCAGTACCCGAGATCAATATGTACTTAAAAAATGTTTATCTGTTTTCTGACAATAATTTATATTAACTAATTAGCTGACAGTAGTGGTATATTCATCGTATATTTCATTCTAGGTAAATAATGATTAAAATTTTAGTAAACCATTAATCAAATACACATTATTGTTATTATCGTTACTATTAGTAATCCATAATAAATATACAAATGTGAAATTAAAAAATACCTGGGCAGTTTCTTCAACTAACTGACAAACAGAATTAGCGCATTGACGTACAGCAAAGCTGAATTCATTAAGCTTTTGATCACGAGCTGATGTAGACATAGTCCTTAGACTTTCCGCTAATGGCTAAAATAAGTTAAAGGAAAAATAAATAAATGAACAAATAGAAACTGGGATTTCACGAATATGACAAAAACCAGTCTTCATGACAAACAACAGTATAAAAACACAAACGGTTGACTTATCATGATATTTTATCAGTGCTTTTTATTATGTAAATTCACATCAGTTCTTATGTAAACCATTGAAAACAAAAGGGCAGTGAATGGTCGCTCTATTAGACTATCGATCGATTGAGTATTGTGATCAGAATGGGGTTTGTGGAGATTGTGGTCAAATACTAGAACGAAACGGCCTTCCAGTGTTTCCAGGTTTTCAATGGTGGTCTAGCTTACAGTGACTAACGATTGAACATTAAACCATAACGGTAAACGGATGATACACATAGATAGATCGGTAGATAGATAAGCAAAGTCAATTCAAGTAATCCCTATCCTAAGAATGACTAGATATTCAAAAGAGGGAACAATAAACCAGTTAATGGAACGATCTCCAATATAGGTAAATACTTGTTCAATTACAAAAAACACCATATACAAATAAAACTATGTATTTTAAAATAACAACTTATCATGACATATTACTCGTAGAAATTTACACTTAATATGTTGCGTACTTAGGTATTTAAATATAGAGCGAAGTTCTTGGATCAAATGACAACACAAGTACAAATGCAAAGTGATATTATAGGATTTTATCGTAGATTTACCATGCAGTGCATAAGTTCGATAATCTGTAAGAAGTGAAGTTTATCAATGGAACTAAGCAGAAATTGCTGCAAAATATTTTATGCCTCACCTGAAACTACTCATAAGTAGTTTACCTCGGCAGACAAACATTTTACCAGAAAACTTGGACAAATGTTTACCCATGTGATACTTATTATTCTTACTCAACTGGTTATAAGGCCTAAATACAAACAAAAATTAACTTCTTCTCAAACCACCCAACTTGTAAATACCAAATCAATTAATTTGAGAAACAACAACCATTTTCCTATTCAATTACCTCAAGACTTTTCGCCACAGTATCCACACAATCATAATAACTATGCTGATTTAATGGTCTATTTGGATTTAACAACAATGGACGAAGTGAATCCAAGCGTCGAATCGCTGCTTCACATTCTCGCTGATCAGGACTAACACCTGAAGTGCAAATTGTCAATAACTGACTTATGCTTTCTGTGACATCTCTAAATTAAAAAAAAGAAATAGAAACAATTGAAATAGCTTAATCAACCAATGAACAATATTAATATAACTTTTCAGTAGGAAAATAAGAACAGAAAAACTAAATACAATTTAGAAAAATGATTTTGGTTGAGATGATTTGCAAACAAATAATGACAGAAATATATTTCAAGCAGTTAGAGATGATGCTTACTTTACATAGGATAGTTTTAATTGTTAGGGCTTTAACTATAACACCGAATAGAGGTAATAAATTGACTTTTATTAAATGGATATTTAATCGCTTAATGACTACACCAGAATAAAGTGGAAATACACCTATTTATTTATTTAAAACACGTAAATACTAATTCCATTGGGCGCCAAAGCCAAATATACACCACACAAATACGATAATGCAACTGTGAAATGATAGAATACGGAGGAGTAGTACAGTAAAAATTAACAAAAGAATAAAAATAAGTGATCGAAAATGGTTTATAATAGTAGAGACAGTCCAATTGAAAAATGTATATACGACCATGAAAATTTTTTTGGGGTAAGGGAATTTATTTCACTTTTATAAAGACTGGATAATAAAACTATAGTAAGTCATCCACTGGCTTATGCTCTGAGACATACCTGGTAATATCTCAAGCTATGGAGTTCCGACATCTCTAAAACCTTAATCAGAAAGCATCATGTCATCAGCTGAACACTTAACTACTCGTTCTAACAAACCCCAGCATCGGAAAATAATACATGACACGGAACCTACCGACATGATATTAGTAACACATGTGCCAGCCACTAAAGAAGATAACTGAAGACAGAAACATCAAATGAGTTGTTTTCTTTGAGCCCAAACACATATTGACGAAACTAAGCATTAATAAAAATTGGTAGAACACTACTCGTAATCAACTAAGCATACACGGGTATTAAACATATTTTTCCATTAATTTGAAGGATAGATTAAGCTTTCAGGTTGTAAAATGTGCGTATGTAGGTAAATTACATCGGTTATCACAGAATAATAAATGATACTGATTAAAATCTATCACGATTTAAAAAATCACACAATCAGCGCTTGTAAATACATAACTGTTGGATGTAGGGTTAGCTGTATTAACAACTGAACGATACATATTGTGCCAGTCATAACCAACGCAGAGCCTGTCACAAATATGCGATAGTCCGATTTGCCACACCACATCACAACGACGAGATGAAATTAACAAGATGGATAATAAAGGAGTCAAGATAATGTAATAATAATAATAACCAAAGAGAATAGACATTAAGAATATAGTTCATGAAGAAGGATTAAGGAGGTTCGGGCTATTATGGACGATTTTAAGCCATGCCACCTTAAAGTCTTCAACCACTGGTTACAATAATTACGCGGACCACAACCAGGTAGTCTGCACTTAACTATATGACTCTATTGAACGGTCAGTATTTTCATGGATTGAGGCTATACCATGGTTTAACCATCTTTAGAATTTTTCAACGTACTACACCAGTTATCGTCGCACATCGAGATAGTTGGTGGATTGGCATATATAGTACATGTCTCAGAGACCTCAGTCGATAACGATTCAATACCTCGTCAATTGAACTACCATACCTAGTACTCTGCGTCTAACTTCGGGACTACTAATCCAATGATCCCAAAATGTACGATCGATGACTTGAAATCACTCATAGTAGAATACTATTAAAATATAAATATCCTACAATTTTAAAAGTCATATTTGTCATCCATAAAGTAGAATAGAGTGAAATGATGCACAGTAGAGTCATCCTTTAGTTGGTAGACCGATATCTCACCTATGTCAAAAGAAACACAAGTAGACAAAAGTCAATCGAGCTTCTAAATCCGTGCCGAGATTTCTTCGGACACTAAATCCACTAGGGGTAGCGAGAATTCCTAGATAAATGTAGTGATCGACGAGACCGACTCCTTCACACTCAATCGATAGTTCACTTTTTGACGTAGACCAATTGTGAAGCAATATTTTGCCTTTATAAGGAAGTCAGTAGATTCTTTTTTTGGTCTTCAAAAAACAGAGCTATAAGTCAACAAGAGACTCTACTAGTAGGCGATCAATTCCTGATCAGTTAGACGATGAAAACGATATCTTTGAGGGAATTCCTATGACAAAGTTAAATAAAAATAGGGAAAGTGGACAACCATGACGAATACCACTTGAAATTACCAATTCTGAAAACAGTTTGCCACAAGCTCCGATTCGATCGGTAGTGTTCGAGTATAAGGCTTGTGAAAGGTTACTGTAATTCTTTGGTAATCCTTTCAATGACAGACATAACCATAATATGACAATGAAACAAATTATTAGTTACCTAGCTGCTGATTGGAATTTTCCTCTTAAATTTTCTGCTTCTGGTTGACCACAAACTCGACTAGCTTCATTCATTAAAACATAACTTTGATCTGAAACATTAATAAGTCCATTTAGTAGATCAGTATTAACAACTGGTTCAAAATGTTGATTATTTGATGGGATTTCATTGCATATAGATAATTCAATGCCTTTATCAGTTAAGCAATCATAGGCTCCAGTAAAACGACGTGTTGTTCGTTTAAATGAACCAGGTGAATATGAAGAGAGTAAATCTCCAGTAGCCTAAAATATAATAATCATAAATAGGGAATGAATTAAGACCTATAGAAAGAAACTCAGAATTTTATCATTTTAAACAAATTTGAATTATTTTTATATATAGTTGAAATCATGAGTTAATTGAAACTAGACCACCGTAGAAAACCTGGAAGCACTGGACGGCCGTTTCATCCTATTGTGGGATTCCTCAGCAGTGTGCATTTAGTTTAATAGTCATAAATGATCTACAATGTGATCCTATTCTTTTTTTCTAGTTAATTATTTTACACATTATTTTTTCAGATCAACTTCAAGCAATCTTTATGTCAATGTACACAAACATATAGCTTCCTTTCCTTATGACACTAACAGTTTTATTTATTGAGAAACAGTTAAAATAGTAGTAATCAGAATTTTATAAATAGTAGGAATAACATATATCATTTGAAATATGAAGTCAATACATAAATATACAACTTGTAGCGGTTAGATCATATTGATTATGAATTTAATTTAAACAAAAAAATCGTATTATTTTATGGAAATATTCGTGGATATTTGAACAATTAGATTGATAGAAATTGACCACCGAGTATATGGAAAACATTATTTGTGTAAAATTATATTTGAAATGACGTACGATGTTTTATGGTGTAGGAGTAGGTTGGAAGAAAGCTAGGGGCGGCCAGACCAAAACATGGCACAAATCCATGAAGTCACTGACAAATGTACTGAGCCATGTTGGTAGGTGTAGACTACCTGGTTGGGATCCGCGAGATGATAGTAATCGATGATTAGAGACCTTGAATGACATGGCTCAAAATCGTTTGCAATGACGAAGGTGCATCCACTCTGTATGTTCTGCCAAATTCTATTCTTCTAAATTCTTCATGTTCCCATCCTTTTTCTCTTTCCAAAATTATTTCACTGAATTATACTTCTTGAATAACATCTTCAAACCCTAATCTTTCGAATTACTGCTTATACTCCTACTACTTCTACCAGTATGAGATTTGAATCGACAACTGCATCTCTGTGCTAATGTGGTATGGCAACTCGAACTGATATACGTACGTAAGAAGTCCTACGTTGTGACTGACTGACTGATATTTGAAATAATCTCAGTGTTTGAAATTTAAATAATTCCAACGTTTCATCCGGAACTCTTGTCTAGTCTTCTTCAGGGTAATGATCAAATCGAAATTATTAAAGAACATATAATGTTTAACAATCAAATCTATACTAAAAGATTATCCAATTATATTCAGATGTCGAATTTAGTAAGTAGGAAAATACGAGTTAGTAAGATGTGAATAATGTCAGTCAGTCACAACATAGAACCTATGCGTATGTACATCAGTCCAAATTGTCGTACTACATGATGTGAAAAGTTCACAATGCGAAAAAGAATGAATATGTGTATATAAATGTTGATAATGTGTGCATCATTTGTTTCTAGGAGCTACCCCAAGAATATAATTCACAATAGAAAGATAAAACTTACAAGTAATATACTAGTAGAAAAACTTAAAGTTCATAAATTCACATAGAATGCAAACAAAAACACATTTATAGAGAAAGGCTGATTGTCTAATGGACAATACTTCGGTAGTATTCAAAGCAGAAGATACAGAATTCGAGCGTCGATAGCAATGTCAATGTTAACAAGTATTTAGAAAACATAAAGTTGGTTTTAAGTTAAATTAATTAGTGTGTATTTAGTCAACGAACATTCTTGTTTTTACCCTACAGTTTAAATCACTAGTCGATCTTAGCTAGACCATAATTGAGAACCTGGTAGCACTAGACGACCGTTTCGTCCTAGTCTGGAACTCCTAGACAGTAAGCATCCACTACCCCTCGTACGGTGTTTAAACTGAGGACCTTCTTATCTTTAGAATGCCATTCTTTCGACTTAATGTCTTTTACCTTTCACATTGACAATTTGACAGATTCCTAATTCTATTAAACAAACGAGTAAAGAATAAAAACACAACACGCAACATTCATCAATAGGTAGTTTCTCAAGATTAGCGTAAATACAAATTGAGGAATTATTAAATGAGACACAGATTTATTATTTTATGTAGTATAATTAGGTTAGAAAGAAAACGCCAAAAAATTACACACATATGTATGATTATTTTTATAAGTCTAAATCAAAAATACACAGCCACAAATGAAATCTAACTACAATGCAGAACTATATAAATGTTGTTAGCAACTGACATTGAGACACTGACCGTATGCTTGACTTCCCTTTTAGTACATCTTATTACAATGCACAAAATCTGACAAGTGACCATGACAACGTATTTCAAACTTTTATTTCAGTAGTATATAACGATCTTCTAGGCGTTAACTTGATTAATTAATCAATTAGTTATTAAGAAATAAAAAAATATGATTTCCTTTATTTAATTAACCCACATCATTGAAAGATTTGTATCTTGTTTCAGATATAAAAAGCATACAAACTAGTGATGAGAATTTCATCAAATATGAGTGTATTTCCTTAAAAAAAACTGCCAAACACTTGTGAATATTTCCCACAAAATACAAGCTCCTTCAACAAGTGAGAGGGAAGCAAGAGATACCGAAATATTTGAAATGATTAGTTTAGTGTCTTAACTATCAAGTAGTGAAGTAAATAAGTAACCAAATATAAAAATCTTGCACTTTGGTACAGAGTTAATGATACTATTCTATTACCAAAACCGATCAAATCGGGTTTGAACGTACGACTGATTTACTTCCTCAGACAACCTGATAAAATAGATACGCTAATGTTTGAATATTAAAAGATATATTAAAGAGATACGTAAATTTTCTAAAGGCTTACTATTCGAACTATATTAATTGATCAAGAACTGACAATGTCACATGGTGGTTGTCAGTGTACTAGATTTTTCATGTTTACATTTCAACTTTTTTTTCTTTTTGACATTGTTTTTTGACTGTGCTCCTTATCATATCGATTTTATCTCATTGAGCTGCTGATGTGAAGTTCGCTAACTAACAACGATGCACACATGTACTAAGTTCTATTTTGATAAATAGATATCGGTGAATATATTTTGGGTATAAACTAGTAAATACTTAAAACCAATGATTAAACTTAGTTATAGATGTTACAAAAAGGTTTTATTTAAAATATCTTAGTACGATTATTATTATTATTATTATCATACACGAAAATGTATTCATTAAATTAAAGAATAGTCTAGTGAAAACAATTTTATTGCTTTTTTCTTTACTACTTAATATATGATAATCTTATGATTGAAAATTCACAAATTTACAATTTCAAACTTATTGAGATAAAAAAAGAACTAATGAGAGAAAGAGAACACTAAAGTGAAACATTAAATTTCCCCAATGAAACTTTTAACATCTAACTTCCCCCTTAGAAAATTTTAACTGTTCAAGAAAATGATAGACTTTTGCAAATTTTCCAAGTGCAATTTTTTAAAAAAATACAATTTCATGTAATAGTGAATTCAAGGAATTGAAAAATTCCACTTCCCTCCTATCCAAAATATGAAACACATAATACTGATCAATAGTACTATTGCCAAACTTTTAATGATTGATTGATCATCCTATTAGTATTCAACTGATAACAGAATTCTATGAAAAAATATTTAGAAAATCGTAAATACTATCCTTAAAAATTTCTCGTGAACTATTTTCCATAGTACATTCTTGAATAATTAATAAAGGGGGATTGTAGAGATTGTTATATTTTGTAGTTATGCATCACAAAGTCTGAAGGTCCTAGGTTCGATTTTATGCGGAATGGCGGATACAAATCACTAAGAGATCTGACACAGACAAAAAGGCTGTTTAGTACTTTCTTCTTCTTAATGGTTGTCGAACTAAAGTCAATCAGGGATGCACAACTACGAACTTCTTGATTAATATTATTTTCATCGCGAAACTTATGCCTGATTCCGTTTGTGTTCATAATTCCTAATCAATTGTCTATCGCCAAGAGTGATGTTTTGTCATTCGTTTTTTTCCGTGATGGAAAAGTTATCAATGAGGGATAGATTGTAAGATCTTATCTAAATTAGTTCATACAATCTATTTACTACTTCAGCCTCTTGATTTAATAATCACATTTGAAGGCTAGTTGAATTTGGTCGAACATGAAGCGTTAAGGCTTCGCATTTTCAGTTTCACACAACTGTTAAACGTAAATAAGTTTTGAACCAATACAATATCTACATAACAATCTTCAAATTATCGTAACAAATAGAAAAACTCACATTTTCTATAAATCATATGTATTTATCTAGCAAGAGTTCGTTAGATATTTAAACCAATTATTCTTGAAGTAATGTGTTACTTCCTACTTTCAACGCCCAATTTATTTCACAACTAGTTTTCCGAAACGATACATCTATTCGCTATCTTTCTCCTTTAAATTTTAAGTTTTAATACTTTTATTCCACAAATTGATTCCTTTGTTTTTGAAGTATATTCTCTAAGTTTCGACGTTTTTTTTTAACTATCAAAGAGATTACTTGTTAACCTGATTCCATTATGTTATAATAGGAAATTAAAAGAAGAATACACATTTACGTCAAGTTCTACATTGATTATGAGTTAGAAACAAGAGTGAAAATTGATATCACATTCCTTTTTTTCCCTTTCCAATCTATTTTTGCATTTATATACAACGAATTTAATAAAACAAGAAATACAATTTCATAACAATACATAAAAATAAATCGTCAAAAGAGGAAATATATGTCTAAAGTAAAACTTACTTGATTAAATTCAACAGCTGCTTGAGTTAAATCTGTTTGTTTACGTTGATATTCATTTGGTTCAACAAATCGTGCTGTTAAATTAATTTGATTCGGTTGTGAATATTGAATTAATTGAGAACGTTTTTGTTCAATTAAATAAGTAGCTTCACTAATTTCTCTATGTCCAGGTAGACCACGTAAACAACGAGTTAATGTTTCAATTAATTGTGTAGTTAATTGTTGACTATGACTTTGAACTGTTGCTGCATTAGCTGGTTGTTTAGCATCACATGCTATTCGTGTATCTTTTACTGCTCTTACTAATTCATATGATAATTGAACAGCTTGTCGAATATCTTGAATAACAGCTCGGCGTGTTGACTCAGCAGCTGATGTATTATTATTATTATTATTACTACCATTAATAATAAGACTATTTTGATCAGCTATTATACCACGAGTTGCATGTACAAGTCCAGTCATAGCTGATGCTAAACGATCAGCTGACTGACCTGCTAATTCCGGTTGATTTAATACAGCTGAATCCATTTTAGCCATGGAATTTATAATGGAATCTAATTTTTTCGCTGACTCAGTTCCATCATGGACACTGATATTTACTAAATGACAACAATCTTCAACCTGAATAATGAAAGAAATATTAACAAAACTTATGTCAAGTTCTTCATAAAAATCAATTAAACGAGAAAAGATCTTTTTATTTAAGTGTTAGACGATAACATTTTGATGATAAATAGTGATAGATAATCATAATTTCTGCTACGGAGGTGTTTTCGTAGGTTAATATTACTCTTCAGCTTTCCATCATAAGTAGACATTATCATCAGTGTGTTGCCTTACAAGCAAACTGAGAGCAAATTAATTTAAAACAAATGCAAAACGTTATCATCACAGTACCAAATTGAAAATAAATAAAAATGAAAAGGTTTTAACTATTATGTTATATCAAATAAAAAAATATAAACAATGTTAACAAAACTCTTGTACGTTGAAGAATTAATATATATACTACTAGTAAATCAAATGAGAATAGTATGACAGATTTGTTTAGTTTTTGTATTACTTTAAAAAAAGGAAGATTGTTCTATTCATAAAACGAAAATGAATGGTAACTAACCTTTTGTTCAGGTATTGGAGTTAGTGTACTTTGCATTAGACTAGTTTCTATTTCAGCTACTTCATCTGATAAACGAGTTAATCTAGTCAATGCACCATCTAATTGAAGATGACGAGCAAATGGTGCCACTTTTATTAAACAAGTAATTAATGTTTCTAAAGCACTAGCCAGTTGACTGTTTGAATTTTCTAATGCAGCTTGAATAGATGGATCAGATAGTGTTGGGGCTAAAGATTTACTAGAACGTACCATTGCTGTACATGGCTACAATAAAAAAGATACATAGAAGTAAACAAAGTGATAAACAGAAAAGTATGTATGGACGATATTGGAATAATTAAAGTGTTTTAGTAATTAAATCAATTTAATAGCTCATGAACTGCAAACACCAAAAAATCAGTCTGGCTTCAGACGTGGTCATGGCTGCATCGACTAAATATTCACCATTCGTCAGATTTTAGAACACAGACATGCTTATCCACTTCTGAAAATGGTTTTTCTTGACTTAAAAGTAGCATTTAACCGTGTAGACAGAGAGGTTCTGTGGCAGTGTGTCATTGAAAAGCGCATCTCAGAAGTACATACTTTGTGAAGGCTCTTCACTCGAACACTATCAGTCGAGTCAGAGCTTATTGGGAACTGTCACCTGATTTTGGTGTTCACCTTGTTGTGCCAATAAGGTATGGCAACTTGGACCAATGCATATAGGTGCCTGGTTCCACTTTGTTTCTGACTGAATTAAAGAAATCAATCATAAATTAGTAGGTTCAAATCCTTTTCTATTTAGTTTAGTAATTGAACGATTAGGTAGCGTCACTAGTGCTTACACACAAGAATTACAGTTAAATGATGAATACATTCACTTCATAAATCAGTTACCAAATATTATCAACTGTAATGCACACATACACACATAAAAAATGTTTACTTTGAAAAACAGGACAAATTATATTGTATTATCATGAATAATCAAAATTCACAATGTTATTTTTCTTATCACTCACTTGTACAAAACGTTCACATGCACCAATTAATTCAAGCAATGCCATTGGATCATCTGGATTGGCACGAGATTCTCTAATTGTAATGACAGTTTTCGGGATAAGATTAGTTACATTCCTTGTGTCATTATGTAACTAACGTCATATTATGAAGGAAAGTAAAGATAAATGTTAAACAAAACAGACGATAAATTGTAATTTTGCCGGAAAAAGTAGTAACAAAAAACAAGTATGATACAAGTCACATTTTAAATTTTCAAACGAAAAGACAATTCATAAAATATGTGTTGAAAAGCAATGGCGGTATTTCTACAGTTTAAGAATACATAAAACTTAACTGTCAGCCAATATCAAAGTCACAATCTTCAATACAAATATCAAGACAATTCTATCTGTACAGAGCTGAAACTTGGAGAAACACTACAAACATCATCAAAGATGTACAAGTATTGATAAAAAACTGTCTACCATCAGCAACAGTCTAATGTGGGAGAAAGCAAATCGACTTCCATTCGAAGAGGAATTTAGGAAAAAACGATGAAAGTGGATAGCACATACATTAAGGAGATCATCAAACTGCATCGCGAGGCAAACCCTAACTTGGAATCCTGAAGGTAAACGGAAAAGAGGAAGATCGAAGAAAACACTTCACCGAAAGTTTGAAGCCGATATATCAAAAGAACTAATAGAAACTGGAAAGGATTGCATAGGACAGAGTTCGATGCAGAATGCTGGTGGATGGCTTATGTTCCTCCACAAGGGGTGGGTAACAGGAGTAAGCAAGTATGTGTTAAAAACACTATATATCCAAGAATCGTATTATTCAATTCGTATAGAAATGCACTTCTAAACATCAGCAAATTCAATTTATTCATGTATGATGTATGTGATCCATCTTCGAATATGTACTGAGTGAAATCATGGTGATTTGTATTTCATATGGGTGGCTTTGATAGTGTTGGGTAATTAGAAGGGGATGGTATGATCGTGAAGTTTTCATTAACGTTTAGGACAAAATTGTCAGAGCCTAATCTAGGTAGATGTAAATTTTATGAGTATTCTACAAGTTATCTCATGCCAGTAACCTAGTTTCTGGTTGGCTATTTTCACAAATCCTACTATCCTTATGTGCCCTTACATTCTCCTTGACTTTCCTGTCCTTCTGACCTCTGAATATGCGGTTGGTTGACTTTTTTTCCGTATGGATAAATAAACTAGCTCTTATGGATGTGTCTGGTAACAGCAACTTGACCTACATCCCATGTTTCAGGAAATTATTTGATGTGCTCAAGATTTATTTGATCTAGGATTTTGGCATTTTCTCAGAACAAATTGTGTCGGTAATTGTCTACAACCATCAGCCTAAGTGACAGAACATCATGTTTTTACCCTGCGAGTTTATGTTCGTGTACGCTTAGGTAAAACGGATCAGTCCACGCGGTCCAACCCACCGTTCATTGCAGTCGATTTAATTTATTTTAAAGATAATGTTGCATTTCTCCTCCTTAGTTGTTGCTTCCTTCAGTATTCATAAAATGGAATCCGTTGGTTTGTGAGACTTATTAACTGGAAATGGTTTCAAAATCACTGATTGATTTCTGAAGTGTTTTCCAAGTATCTCAAAACGATATGCTTCCTGGTTTTCGAGAGTTGATTTTGTGATGGTATGTTGGCTTGCTATACTATTTTTGAAGTGAGGGTACATAGGAGACAGAAAATTCCATAAGAAGACATACCATAAAATTAGTTAGATGACTAGGTCAATTCATAATGCCCCTGAGACATTTCACAAGGATATCTGCGAACGAAAACCATCTTACTCTCTCAACAGAAATTCAATAACAAGATCACACATATCTCCGAGGTCTACTGAGTTCAGACATGTGAGATAAACTTTAAAAAGTATAAAAATAAAACCTTAACAAAAAAGCAATCAGTGATCAGTTTTCCCTTAGAAGCTGTTATTACGTTTCCGAATCGATGAAACCATTAATATCACATTTTTTAAAAATGGACAGTTGAAAAGTAATTATTGTTCATACACCGACACTGCCCTAAACGCGAAATATTGCTTGATAACTGGTCTGAAACAATGTCTCTCTGATCACGCAAAGTGAAGTAGCTGAGCGTGCTACCTACTTCACTTATTTACAAGTAAGACCAATCATGATAGATCGTCACTGGTTGATGAAATCTTAGCACAGACAAAGAAAGTGGATTGGCTATTACAAAGTTTTATCATTCACGATAAAGGTGAGATATTTATTTGTCTATTCAGTGGGCAAATATACTGTACACAAATCCTGTGTGTGTTTCTTCATCGTCATTTAGATTTTGAGTTTCGTTCATTATTTTCACATTTCCCGAATTTCATTTGCTCTATCTATCCAATTTAGCCCAGATTTAATTTCTTGTCACCATCATCATCAACACCGTTATCATGATCCTTTTAAATGTTCCGATTTTTACCTTGTTAGTTTCTTTTGTTTGTTATACCAAAAGAAACTGTCAACTTGGACACACATTTATTGGTGCCATTTTCTACATTGTTTTTTTTTTAAATATTGGCATAATATTATCCTAAGATGAGTCAATTTTTCAATTACTATTTAGATCATATTCTGTGCACCATATGATTTTTCTAAACAAAGCACTCGGTTAGTTAGCTAGCTAATCAGTTAGTTAAGTAAAATATAAAAAAATAGGTGAGGGAAAATCTTCCTTCAGTTTACTACTACTCACTTGATAACTATTACCACGTGAATATTTTGTAGCTGCTTGACTAATATTAACCAACTGTGTAGCACCAGTTACTGTAGCACGTGCAGCAGATTGTAAATTATGTATCAAACGTGTCTGAAATTGTTCACCTCCAGCTGAATAGGCAAGAGTATACAATTCATCTGCAGCATCACGTAATTCTGTTTGGAGTTGTATGTTATCTGGGTTAGATGAACAAGCCTAATATTAAAATAAACGTAACAAAATGAAGAAATTGATACTCGGTTAAGCTAAATAGTGCTAATGATAACACTGAGTACATAAAAAGATAAAACAATCATGTATTTTCGAAAATGATACAACGTGTAATTCTACTCAATTCGATAACACTTTTTGCTAATAGCTACTTCATGAAAAATATCATCAGAACTACTTATAAGTAGTCAAAAACCAAACACCAAACTTTCCATGTAAGTAGGGTTATTTCAAATGATTTATGTCAATCATCATAAACGTAATAAATTTTTCTGCTCAGACTGATCACCTTAAATTCTTCTTTATTTACTCATTGATTGCATAAACAACATTTTACGCATATCGAGCAGTTAGGTATGGTTTACTATCTCATTAGACTGTTTAATTTTGGAGAAATGACCATTTTAATGTAATAAACAGCATTTTGTCTAACTTATTTATTCATTAGTTTTGCTTAGTTTAAGACAGCACTAACCCATTAAATGCTTTTCGCATCGCGCCGACGGGCTTCCATAATATTCAAAACAAAATAAGGACCATTATTTGTTTAAAAGTGAAGTAACCTATCACTTACCTTGGCAGCATTAATCAAGTTGGTAGTAGCATCTGCCAGTTGTTTAGCAGCATGGAATAAGCGATTCTGCCTATCCGAATCATCTCCGGACTCTTCAGCTTGTGCTTTAATATCAGCAATCATAAGAGCTGTAGCTTGTGCAAGACGACGTGCAGATGCAACCATACGTTGACCATCTGTAGTATAATATTGTTTTAAATCTTCATAAGAAGTTTGGAAACTATTCAAAGCATCACCTTGATAACCCTGGAGAATGAAAATAGGCAAAATAGAACGGTATATGTATACGGAAGAAACTATCCAGATATTTTTTAAACAAACTGCAATTTAAAGCATGTACATCACAACATCGTCATACATATATTGTGTGAAACCTGAATTTCACTGAACCTTCTACCCAAGATAATAATAACCAGTTAAAACGAAAACAAACACAAGTCTGTCAGACACATTCAACGTAGAATCTCGGGGATACGTGAATCGGTTCCAAGCTGCAACACCATATTAGCACTCTAAGATGAAATTGCCAACATAAATCCCAGGGCAGAAGAAGTAGTAACATTATCAATAGTGATAAAAAAGAAAGTAAATGGATATTATGGTTTGAGAAGAGGGAATTTAGGCAGTAGAAAAATCTCAAGATAGTTTTTAAACTCAGGGTGTGAGAGAAAACAGAGCGAATGCATTTATGAATGGAAAAGCTAGGTAAGGCTGAATGAAACCATGTACAACTTCTTTTCTAATATATCAGTAGTTTTCTCTGAAGTGCTACAGTTTCCCCTGTAATGCTTAAGAAACGGGTACAAACGTAACGCAAAAACTACCGCTATGAAGCCAATATACACTTTTACATTATATCCCAAACCTCGAAAATTCATAACTATTGAAATCTTGATAAGCTTTATGAAATATACACCAGTAAACTGAATAATGCGAAATGATAAATACATCTATTTCTTCCTTAACTAATCAATATTATTCTATTTGGGTTGAAAGCAGAATCTTTGAAATAAAGAATTTTGCATCTTATGCTAAGACTATTATTCTTGCTTTATTGGAAGTCTTGGAAACATAGATGGTTGCATTTTGTTTGTGCTACTATACTACTTGATATTATTCAGTGGTATAACTTATCTTAATAAAGTTTAGTGATTTGTTATGATGGAAAATTTTCTATTATCTGTACCCCTAACTCTATATTTTCGTTTATTCCTTTTTCCCTTGTATTACTTGAATCCAGTATCTTTTGGAAACTCAAATACTTAAAGCCTAATAAAACATTGTCGACAAAGGGTTGTTTATTCTAACTTTACTGTCAAAACAATATTTGAAAGCTTAATAAATGGAGTTTGTAAATTACAAGTGTTCACTTTCTTTTCCGGAATAGTACTTTACTTTCAGATAAAGATTGAGCTTAGCCTTCGGGAATTTAACACATGAACCAGTGACATTTGGTTAGTTATTCAAAATGAACTTTTCAAAGTTATGTCAATGACCATCATGTATCGTTTTAATCCAATTAATCGGCGAACAGGAATCATAGATGTAACATATAACATCGTACATTGGCTTTATATGTAACGATTAAACTACACACAGATTATCTTTCATTCAGACTATTAAAATGTAATCATCTATGAGCAAACAGTAACTGTACACTTTTAGACGTAAATTGAAATAATAGTAATGCAACATTACTACTTCCAATGAACAATAATCAAATTCTTGCATACATTCTATCATTTCATATTAAAACATGAAGTAAATAAGAAACTTAATACAAACTTTATATGATCCTTTAAGTAAATGTGCATTAAGCTGATCCAAGGCATCTCGAACTTCTGTAGCTGCAGTTTCAGTCTCAATAATTGATTGTTGAACCATTTGTGGATCTTCTGATGGTACATGAACAGCAGCACGTGATGCTTGAACTACACCATCTACAGCCCATGTAACTTCACGACCAGCTTCACTTAATTGTTGTTGACAAGTCGGTTGATGAATAGTTGGGGCTAAAACCTAAATATCATAAAAGTATGTAACGAATTTACATTGTATCTCGCATAAAGTAGAGAGAGGATTTATTAATACGATCATTATATAAACATATTCGACAAATAGAAATGAAAGTTAAAAAGCACACAGAGCCAAAGGCTTTCTACACATAGAATACATTTATGTATAGTGTCACTTTTCAATTATCTGAAATAATAATCAATAAAAAAATAACCTTAAATTTACAACTCTATGAAAAAATTCCCTCTTCGTCAGAGCGATTAATAGATAGATAGACAGAAAATTCCAGAGAAAAAGATGGCAACAACTAAAGAGTGAACTAACTTACAGTGAAGTATATAGAAAAAGAGGGGATCAAAACAAATGAACAAACTAATTAAACAGGTTAAACTTACTTTAGTACAAGCTACCAATTGACTAGTGCATAAACCAGTTTGTGTAACTGAAGCAATGACACGTTGTTGTGCTTCAGGATCTGATGTAATTTGTGAAGCTAATACTTTAGCTTTTACAACTAATCCAGCAGTTGCATTGGCGACAGCTTTAGCAAGTCCTAACAATTGATCCTGTGTAAATGTATAAGAAGAGAAAAGAATATATATAAAGTTATAATTTATTTTAAAGTATTTATTATGGTGTGATGAAAAAAAACATTAGAACAATTTTATTAAGTAGTACAATACAATAACATTCAATGGATACAATTCTCTATTTGCATTGATCAGAATAATGATTGTTAGTTTACAATGTATAGTTTATCCAGCTTTTATTGGTGGGCCTGATAAGGTTATAAACTAATTCTTATCAAAATTGTTCAAAACTTAGTTGTCTTTCTGATCAGAGGAAGGAATCTATCACAGTGAACACACTAAATACATATTTTATCTTTTCTTCATATATCAAGATACATAATAATAATAAACGCAAGTAACTTCATTTGACTATTAGCATCAAATATTTCCTTCATTTGATGATTATATTTTATTGAGAATACGCATATTCAGTTTTCACCAACAACTTCCAATGCTGAAGCATAGAAATAAAAATATGTGGATAGCTACAACAAAATATCAGTCACCTGATTCAATATACCGCTTAAGTACTGGATATTTTCCAAGAGGGGAGGGATGTGCTGCCAAATAAATCCATGAAGTTCAGTTCGAAAAGGAAGACTTATTTTTTTGGAATGGAAAGGTGATACTCTGGCCCATTCACACATAGATCAAAAGACAAGTGAGAAATGCTCACGAGCACACACTATTGGCCGAGATTCAGTTTCACTCTCTAAGGAAAATGGAATATGTTATAGATAGAAAATGTGGCTTTATTTCCCGAGGGAAAAATATCTATTTATGAATGGGCTGTAAGTATATTCCCGATTTGGTTAGCCAATGAAAGCTTCTGATTGGCTGTTGTTTTTCTCACTCAAGGAGCTAGTTTGGGTACGCTGGTAGAAAGCTTGTACTGCCAGCATCAGACTTGGGTGACTGAACAACAGGACAGTTTCATGAAAATCCTATATATATATATAATGGTGAATGTAAGAATTTTCTCTTTTTGTGAGACCTACAAAAATATATCGAATGGTATATGTTCATGGCTCAAACGATAAAAGTAAAAATATGGTTGTTTTTGGGATATTTAGTTATCCACTATACAGTTATGGGCTCAGATATAAGTCTACATTTCAAGTTTCAATCAACCCTATTGTATCATACAACAGATATGACCCAAATATTACAAGCCTTTGTTACGCATTTAAACCTTGGATTGATTTAAACAATATTTACTTCATTTCTAAGGGGGAAACATTTACAACTCTAGTGTGGTTTATTCAATAAAATATTTTATTGGAAACGTACCTGCTAAATTATTTTACAAAATAGAATAAGGTTTGGATTATTCGACTTAAACAGTCTCATTGACAACAATAAAATTGAGAACTAATGACAAGTGGATGTGAAGCTATCGCAAATCTAAAGGATAAACTAATAGGTGATAGCTTCAATATGTAATGATAAATAAATAAATCATTAACGATGAAAGTTTAACTGACCAGTTCGAGCAAAAAATTAAAAACAAAAATTACAAAACAGACAACAGTAATAATAATAAACAAATAATTGAAATCGAACCTGATAAATTCTTTCTTCATCAGTCAAAATTAAATAATTTGTGTTGAATAAATCATCATCATCTCCACCATGCATCACATGACGTAATAGATCATTGCTAGCTGCACCAACCCGACTAGCTGCTTCAATAATAGCTTTACGTGAACTACTCGATACAGGACCTTGTTGTTGTGTGATGACATGATTAGCTTGATATGTTCCATCATCTGATGTTGGATAAATTTCTTCATGTGTCTAGTTATCATGACAAAAACAAAAAATAATGATAAATTTTTTATTTAGAAAAAAGTACGTTCACTTATGTTTCCATACAGTATGAGATAGAATTTATCATATTGTGATGTAAATATGATCAGTTATGATCTGCAAGTCCTTTTTTCTACTTTATAAAATTTAACATATTCACACATAAATAGAGGTACATAAATACACAGAGACAGTATAGACTGTCAAATAACATTGTTGAAGATTCAAGACATTAGTAAACTGTTAGTGTTTGGTGGTAAGCGATTTTTAAGCATTGTTTAGGTGTAGTGAAAATATTGAGGTTAGGTGTAAAATACTAGGTAGAGGGGGCTGGATAAGTGTTGTAAACTTTAATTTGTTGAAATAATGGGAATATGGTTTACCCAAGATCTGTAGTTGTCCATTTTTTCTATACGTTTTCTACCTAGTTTTGGAATGGACTAGAAATAACAGAGTAGCAAACTTGAGACAGTACATTAATGGTGAGGGTATGTACAGATATTTTGGTAGGAGCATGTGAGGAAATAGTAATCTATAAATAAAGGACTTAAGTTGTATGAGTCGGTAGCGATCGCAATGGTATAGATGAACTTAGTCTCCGTTCATTTACAGTTTACATATCAGTTCATGCATTTTATTTATTCCTTCTGAACTATATACTGTTTATATCTAGTTTAATACAGCCATTAATGACTATTTCGACCATAATTCCTCTTCAACTCGTTAATTTCCCATAACTATTGTTACTATGGAGTGTGTTATTCTAATTCAATACATATTTGTGCTAGGGGTTACGACTTTCTTGATGATGATTACATAGTTTGGGCCGTTTTGCTCACTGGAGAAGAGATAAGCAGATTTTTCTAGTAATGTAATTAAGCTGATGAGACACCGTGTCCAACACAAAATCACCTGAATCTAGAAAATAAACTGATTAATAAACAACGTAGAGACTTAAACTGGTATCTATAATCAGCATCATCAATAACCGGAACTGAACAGACAGTACTGGTGAGATTTACCAGTGACTGAGAAAATCTATGGATATGCTTAATCAATATTACGATCAATTTTGATAGAATTGAGTGTGTAATCACAAAAAGCTGGGTTATATCAACAGGAATTTGAATGGCATTCCATGAAAGTGAATCACTATTGAATTCACACTTAAACACGTATTACATTAGTCAAAACGTAAACCGTAAAATGGTAACTACTAAGAAATGTTGATTAGATGCTTTACAATTGATATTTAACGAATAATAAGAGAAAAAAAGTTAACTACTAAAGAAACATCAGGTAAACTAGGTTTTTGTTAATAAAAGTAAGTTTTTCTGTATAGTTAGCTTTTTTTTCCAACTTCACATCTCTGACCTGATCTTTGCTATTATTTGATAAGATGTTATAAGTTTCAGTTTGGCAATTGTACTATGTCCAAAGGTTATGTTTTGTTGCTATACAAATACAGCTGTTTTACTTCGAATCTGACTTCTTGAATATCAAACGTTTTCTGAGTCTCTGTCTTCTCTACATGTCCCCTTGAGTTAAGAATAACTGTCAAAGAGTTATGCGTGTCATCATCGAATCTATAGGATTTGCATAAGATTCCGTTTGTGTTAGAAGTCTCAAATATCCGTAGTTATAAATAAACATAGATTCAGTAATTCAACTTAGTATTGTTTGTTTGAATCTTCCCATCGATTTGTTAGGACTGCAACTGGTCAGTCTCTTTTAAACTTCACCCCATCGCACAAGCAAGTGGCTATCAGGACTCAGTGGCCGAGTGGATAACGTGATGGCGTTTGGAGCGAGGGTACTGGGTTCGAGTCCCAGAGTGAACATCAACTCTGAGATGCAGGTACGTCCGGCTGACGAGTCCCAAATAGAACGAAACGCGCGTCCTGGACTCCACTGCTGGCCACTATCCATCTCTGCTAACCATAGATTCAGTAGTTTAAAACTCAACATCAATCACACTTTATGCTGGATATAACTCGAATAAATTACTATAGTACAAATTCATCGGTAACAAATATCATTAACTACCTGTCCCATAGCTAATGGTCGAGCTGATTGTAACAGATCAGTGAATGCATCTGCGACATGACGAGCAGCTGATAATAAATTTTGAGTTGATTCTTCAGTTTTCTCAGCAATAATTGGTTGACCAGTTTGATCAGCTTTTAAAGCACCAGATTCACGTCGTAGTACAGCGACACGTTTTAAATCATCAACAAATGCAGGGAAATGAATTGTAACTACACGAAATGATTGTTGCATCATCATCAAATCATCACCAGGATCATGTATTTGATCTAATGGTTGACCTTGTTGTACAGCATTGATATCAGTTGATTCAGCTCGATTAGCTGAACGTAAAGCTTGAGCTACAGCAGCATTCATAGCACCGACCTCATCAGTCACCTTCGCTTGACTGGCACCCATAGATTCACTTAACCAACGTTTAGATGCCTAATATAGGGTAATGAAAAACAAAAAAAAGTATATGTTAGTAAAGTTCAAGTGTGGTTAACCGTGAAGACGTAGATATGCGTTTTTATACTTTATTTGAAACTTGTTAGCTGGATATATTTGTATCCCAGTGTTGATATTCATATCGAGATGACAGTTTGTACTGTTTTCAATATTAATAACGCAAAACTCAAAGAAATAAACACTCTTACAATTAATTGTCTTTTTTTAGGAGAAACGGTTTTGATAATTATGCAAGATCTAGGTTTATTGCGTCAGCTTGAGTTCACATTAGACACACACATGAGACGAACAGACGATAATAAGTATGAATTTATTTGAAACAAGTTAAAAAAAGAAAAAAACACATACTTCATCTGTTCCAACATTGAGTAGGTGACGTTCAGTTGGTGGACCAATATCTAAATGTTCTTTAGCAGCTTGTAATGTTTCCAAATCTTCATTAATTGTAATTAAAAGAGATTTTTGTGCTGGAGACATTTCTTGATAGTGGAAAATATGAGTCTAGTGATAATATAAAAAAGAGAGAAAGAAACGAACAAATATTTGAAAAACCACTTTTGTTATTTGTTTTTTCCAAAGAAAAAATGTTTTCCTCAGTATAACAATACTGCTCATTACAAATGATTTGATAGGTGAACTTTAACAAGTCAATTATACGGGACGTTTGAATCAACAGTATCTGTGAATGTAAGGGTGTTAATGATACTGTAGTGAACAAGGACCCAGGTGAGGGAAACTAATTTACTGTTCAATGCGAAATTACAGAGTGCCTTCGTAAAATATGAAAACCATACATTAAATTTATTATTTGGATATCTTCCTTCAGTTTTCCTTTACATGTTTCGTGATTATTTCAGTTCTGTTGTTATAACAATTACTCTCTACTCCCCTTCTTGTTCTCTTCTATTGATTCTTCTGTTGCCAGGCATTCCACTTCCTAGTGGTGCTACATACTACTTATATCTGTTAACATAAGTAGTATACACTTCATTACTACTTGATCACCCACCGCTTCAAATATAACTATGAAATGGCATGTAAATAACAGACAATAACATTTGAATGATATATAAGTAGATTAGTGCTTATTTAGTATTTTTCTGTTTTAACAGGTCTTGAATGAAATATTTAAAATTACCTATGGCTAAAAGAAAAGCTGATCTCCCGGAGACTGTACGAAGGAGAATAAAAAGGATTTCCATTCATTGCCTACGAGACACTTTAAAATTATGTTTAAATTAATCAAAAATTTTATAATAATTTAAAGAAATCTGTTATTCAGTAAAACAGAAATAATCAGTGTTGAAATTCTTTCTATTTTGTTACTACATTAATAAATGAGAGCGAAAATCCGAAAAGCGTAAGTACAAAATTTAAGTATTGATTACCGAAATATAATATTATTTTGTTTGGAGGGTTGAAGGCGGTATGCTATGTATTACAGTTCAGGAGTCAGGATATATTAAATTTCAATCATTGGGATATAAGCTCAAACTCTGCTGGATATCATCGGTGATAAGTGTGTGTGGATTAGCACTGAGTATATTGAGTTTGTTTATTAGGTCAAAGGGCAGCATGAAAATGGAAAGTCGACCGGTATTTTTCACCACTATTATTGATACTATTGATAAAGACACATTTAAATTATATATGACCAATTAGTTGACTTTTTAGAATATATTAAATTGATAATCGTTAATGAGCTAATGAAATCCATGCTTAAAACTAATGAAATTGATAAGATTTTTTGATTTCATAAAAGCCAAAAATAATTCGAGAAATGTTTTAGCATATATAACATCCTTATCTACTGTGTGAGCAAGAATATAGGTATCCAAACAGCAAAAGAAAAAGTTTAATCATGGACTCTGAACTTAAACAGTGTTTTTCAGATTTTAAATTAAAAAACTAAAATAAGGTATTTGGAATTTGGCGGCCAAACCAAAACATGGCATCAGTGCTTGAAGTCACTAACTTCTAGTCTAAGCCATGTTGGCAGATGCAGACTACCTGGTTGGGGTCCGCGTGACTATCGTAACCAATGGTTGGAGACTCTAGGTGACATGGCTCACAATCGATCACAATGGCGTAGGTGTATACACTCTTTATCTCCCCTTAAACCTTGAGACTAAAATTGCTTCATATCTCTCTTCCTTCCTGTACTATATCCTTATATACAACCTATAATTTATATACTACTACCAACACTAAATTAACTACTATGAATCCGGTGTTGATCTTGTTGTGCTAACGAGGTATGGCAACATGGACCGATGCATATATGTGCCTGGTCCTACGTTGTAGCTGACTGACTGACTGATTTATTCACATTCACCGTAGCTCAGAATAAATAACTAATGTTAAACTTGACCAATGATCAACTGATATACATACATATATTCATTCTAATACAAGAAATATATACTTACTCCACCAGTCATAAAGTTATCAGGTGACATTTGGCGTGTTGTTGTTGCTGTTAATACACTTTGACCATCGATTACTGTAGAATTTTCATCACCTACAAGATTATTTTGTTGATGAATAGACCATACACCATTTGTATGGATTTGATGACTAGCTAAATCATTTCTGTGTTGGTGATGGTCGAATGGTTTTTCAACTACACCATTGACAAGTTGATCTTTTCCTCGAACACGAACAGGAACACGTTGATGCTGAACAATTGTAGCCCTGATATTAATAACAATAATAATGAAAACAAAGGTACAATGATCAAAATGATCGTTCAATAAAGTTTTTAACGAAGGTTTTTCTATATATATGAAGAGGGAACGTATAATTTCTGGTCTGTGGAACAATAGAAATTAATGATGAGTGGAAGTTGACCTCAGTTATATTAGAAAATTTTAATCGGTCAAAATATTGAAAAAATGAGCTTCATCCTACATATAGGATGGCAGTCAACAGAATTATATATTTAGTGACCAGAATGTTATACATCAATGATAGGCATTTAATTATAGAAACCTATTAAGTTCAATCTAATTGTACAAAACGTTATTATTAAATGTTAGTAGTGAGTATTGGTCGCTATTACTGAACTTGATGAACTCTAGAAGTTTTATTATCATACAAAATTAGTTTTGAATATACTCATAGCAATCCTTCAGTTCATCAGTCATTAAAAACACACACACGTCTAATTTGTTACAGATTATCAAACCATTTTCACAATAGTTCAAATACAGTTACGCATATGACCAAAAGGCAAAAGTGTTCATATCATTCTCTATTGTGGAACACACATAGTTCCCAAGATGCCAATTATGAATAATTATTAAGACAACAATCATAATAACGCACACAAGTGTAAACTCCACATACAAACACACTGTTAAATTGATGTCATATTTCGGAAAAATTGACAAGTTTTCATAATGTCAAAATATTAATAATGTTGATATTAATAGTAAAAATACTAAGTGACAGTTTTTGTTTTTTCTTCACAAACCTATGAACATTTAACAGTTAAAATCAATCCAATATATGGCAAAAAAAGTGAAATGTTTATTATGATATGGTTAAAGAAAATAATAATGTTGCCATTGCCAATAATCAATCAGATACACATAGTAAGAGAGAGTGCACATGTGAAATCGAAAAAGAAGAAGAAAAACAAAACTGACAAACTGGACTTATAATAATAATCAAGAGAAAAATAAAAACATACAAATCAGTTCAGATTGTCAATGAATTAGAAAGTCTATCCAAGAAGTCGGCCAGTCAGTTATAAGCAACTTAGAATCTGGAGTGTATGTATTTCTCTTCAATTTGTCATACCATTATCAACACATGAGAATAAAATTACCGAGAAAAATGGTAGAGTAGAAGAAGTTGTGAAACTGTCCGTAATGGTAGATCTGGTTCGAGAAGGACGGATGAATTTGTTGAATAAAAATTACAAATTTTTAAAGACAAAGAATGAATGAATATAGGTTATTGTGAACTATTTTGAGACATGTCAACCTGAGTCCACAGCCACTGATCATGCGGACCCCAGCCAGATAGTCTGTACACATCAACACAACTCAGTCCAACAGAAAATGAATTCATGAACTAATACTACATCTTGGTTTTGTAGCACCAAATTTTCTTTCAGCGAATTCCTATGACGGAAAAAATCGTGGTTTGAAGTAGGTGGTGGTTGGGTATTACTTAATTATGGATTACTCACGCCTGTAACCCCCAGTGAAGCATAGGCTGCCGACCAGCATTCTCCAACCCACTCTGTCCTACACCTTCCTTTCTAGTTCTATACAATTGTTGTTCATTGCCTGACACTGGTCTTTACCTCAGACGAGTCAGTGGGCTGTTCTCCATGCACGATTTTGCAGTTTAATCCATCATAGGAATTCCGTATGATATTGACTATCTTCTCAGGCAGGCACGCTATAGTGTCGAAGAAGCCTCCATAGTATTGTCCTGTCAACGCTATCACATGCTTTTTCGTAGTCAATGAAGTTGATGTAGAGTGATGAATTTCATTCAATTGATTGTTCCACAATGATCCATAGAGTTGCGATTTGGTCTGTACACGATCGATCCTTACGGAATCCAGCCTGTTGGTCTCGAAGTTGGGCGTCTACGGAGTCCTTCATTCTGTTTAACAATACCCTGTTGAAGATGTTTCCTGGTATTGAGAGAAGAGTGATAGCCCTGTAGTCATCACAATGGTCGTTCTGGTATACTATAATTTCCAGCGAGCTTCTTCGTTATATCATACGATTGTCACATGTTTAGTTATCTTGCAGCCTTTTCCGCCGTCATTGCTCAATCTTCCACACATTTACGTTTGTCTGTTCTGATGCTTATCTTCACTTTCTTGTTTACTTCTGTGTATTCAGCGTGTGCTTTGGCTTTCTCCGTTCTTAAACGGCTGATATTGATTGCTGCCCTCTTGTTCCTCCTTTCTTCAATCTTATCCAGTGTATCAACAGTGATCCATTCCATGTGATGGTGCTTCTTGTGGCCGTCCTTGATTCATTTTCAGTTGTTATCTATGGTAGTTCCTTCTCCATTGAGTAGATCATGAAAGGCCTGAAACCTATTGCTGAGGACTACGTTGAATTCATTGAGTCTGACAGTATCTTGAAGAAAGGTCGTATTAAACTTTTGTGATGTTGTCCGCCCCGTTGTCTAGTGCTTCTTGGGCTTCGGTTTCATCTTGGCGACCGACAAGTGATGATTTGATGCTATATCAGCTTCTTTACTAGTTCTCACGTCCTCCATCGTCGTTCTGAACTTTTTGTTGATGCAGATATGGTCGATTGGGTTCTGTGTAGTGTGGTCCGGTGAAGTTCATGTGGTTTTGTGAATGCGTTAGTGTGGGAATATAGTGCCACCTATGACCAGTTTATTGAAGGCACATAGGTTTGCAAATCTCTTACCATTTTCGTTCGTTTCCCCCAGTCCATGCCGTCCCAAGATGTCTCCATATTCGGTGTTGTCCATTCCAACTTTGTCATTTAGGTCATCCATCAGAATGGTCACGTCCTTTGTTGGGCACTTTTTCACGATTGACTGCATCCTATCGTAGAATTGATCTTTAATGTCTTCATTGTGATCATTGTTTTGAAGGAGGAAGCCATCTCTGTAAAACACGTTAATTTCCATTATTATTTAAAACTTTCATGGGATGTTCCAGATGTTTCATGTATATGAATTTTTAATTTCGACAATCATACAATTGAAAATGATATTTAGATTGAATAATAAAGAAATTTTGTTTAAAGGATCAAAATGAGTACTTTAACTATAAGCTACCAAATATATCAGAATAAAAGAGACATCGACTAGATGACTTACTTTAAAGTAGAAATTTTAACTCATGTGATGAAAATGCTTCAAACAATTGAGACGAAAATTATGCACACAAAAACACATATGTAAAGATAAACGCATTAAACTAACCGTTCAGCTTGAACATTTTCTTCATACATTGCAGACTCTTCATCACCTTGCAAACCGGGATGATCAGTAGCTTTTTGTTTTTTCAATATGATATCAATGTAACCAGCAATTAGTTGAGAGATCTGTTCGCCTTCTGATGTTTGAGCCGTGTAATATTCATCTGGTGAATATTCGCCAAAATCCTTTAATAATAATAAGAAAAATAAGGATTTATTTACATATCATACAGCTTCTTGAACATTAAATGTATTCAGTTGGCAGAGAATTTAAATCACAAAGCATTCGATCAGTAAGTTAAAACAAAATAACTGAATTTTGTAATAGTTTTAATCTTGAACTAATGTAATTCACTATTCAAGTAGACACATGCTTCACGTCGTTATTGATGGCGTTCCCTGACTACCAGGATCGAAGTAGGTGGACTAGAGATTGAAGTTACAACTTAGTTGTTAACAAGTCGAAGACGTGGTTAGAGTAAATCAATTTGTTGTATTCAGCAAAATCACACACTACGTTTCTAAAATCTGAAAACAATATACTGAATACACAATTTTTGCACATCCTCCTTAAATTGTCTTTCACAAGCTTCATAAATCTTTTATTCATGTTGTTACTCGGACTGCTTCAGATTTTCTTTCTCTTCTCTTCACGTTCTACTTCTGTCAGAAAGAATCCTATTGCCGATTCTTGATGCATACTACTTTCATCTGCCCGTATAAGTAGCATACACCACACTACTACTGCTACTACTACGGTTTTCATTATTATCAAGTAACAAGCTGTGTCAATAGAAATTATTATTGATTCAGTAGTATGAAATGTAACTTATGAGATTAAATTTCCTTACCCATAAAAAGTAACAAAATATGATAACAAGAATGATTTATGAATAGACGCTACTATGGTACAATGGATGAAAAAATAAAAATAAAAATCGAAGTAAAAGTTTACCACTAACAACGATCATCGTGACTTTTTATATTGAAAAACACAAAAACAACAAAAAAGAAAATACTTTAATTGCAAAAACAAAACCAGTGAATCTAAAAAAACATCTCATGAGCAAACCAATAGAAAACTGATATAATGAAGAGAATAATGAAAATATACTGGAGTTAACTTTCTACTACCAAAAGAAGAACGAATTAGAAATGAAGTATTTTCAATTCAAAGAGAAGGAAAAATGAGACGGGATATTCGGTATTTTACATGTGATGTATGCTATTTATCTTGGCAGGTATAATTAGTACGTAACACCAGTCAGAAGTGGAATGCATGGCAGCAGAAGATTAGGAAGATCGAATTCAAGACAACAAGAATGTAAACAGTGAGTAATTGTAATAACAGTAGGAATGAAGGAACGATGACGTTTGGTTATCCCCACCAATTCTGCATCCATTACACATCTTCTAATATTATTTAATAACGAGATTAGATAATCCATCAATCTTTTCATAAGAATCAATTATACTTAATTAACATTATATTCCAGTTAGTTATGTACACCTTGACAAAACTTTGTGATAAACAGTAATAATTTATCTCCACCCATGCTTACGTTTTCTAATTCCCTTGAAGTATTAAAATAACTTAAGTAAACAGCAATTCTAAGAAAGAAGACGGTAAACTTAAAAATGGATATAAATTAGACTACAAAGTCACGATACTCACATTATATGTATTAGTTGTCATTATTGACTTGGTAATTTGAATGTACAATTACAGAAAAACGAAATTATTCACATAAACCCAGGAATCATTACTTCAGTGAGGTGTTCCAGTATGAAAAAACAAACATATAATCGTTACACGTAAACTACGGATACGTCTATTTGGTGAATCGTGTCTATATATATATATATATATATATATATATATATATATATATATATGTAGGGAGAGTAGTTGACAAACCGTTTTCATGTCCAAAGTCAAATGCTGGAGACGAATAATGTCGCCCTGTACAAAAATACAAATTCGAGTTTTGTGGTATATATCTCTAACAGGCTTTAGGCAATGAGTGAAAAATAGGCAGCACTGGGCAGCTGTGTTATTCCAATATGAAACTCCTTAAGAGTGGACATACTTAATCTGTCAGGAATCAAAACCAGGACCCTCAGGCTTTGCAGTGTGTGTTTAACCTTTACACCGCTGAGGGGCCTGGACCCGATTTTCGACAGAGTCGTCAGTACACATAGCTGAAGAGTCTCGAGCTAAAACGAAACAGGTATTCAGTCCTTTCTGGTACTCATTGGCAGTATGACCAAGGTCAGTGAGTGGTGTAAACCACAAAAGGATTCCAATATACTGACCTAACTATTTACTACCTCATATGTTGTTATAACAAGACTTAATTCTAATAATGAGTGGTCAAAAGCAAGTAGCTCAAACCACTGAGTCAAAGCTGTTTATATTTAAAGAATTCAAATAGCCACATTTATAATAAGAACAATTCAAAATCCCTCCGTAAACATGATGAAAAAATAGGTGAAAAACCGTAGTTAAAATGTTTAGGAAAAAGTTTGTCCAACAAATTCCTAAACTGTATGCAGTACTTCATTAAACACTTTAATTGATAATCATTTAATGTTTAAAAACTACATTCTAGAATTTACTTTTCTCAGCAAAACAATCAACAAAGTCAAAATAATAATGATGTCAATCGAAGAAGTGAACATTTGACATAAGCAACTTATCGTCAAAAAGGGATACATAGTAAATATGAAATAACTAAGCACAAAAGTATCCCGACCATTACAGTTGTGACTTCAAATCATTCACTATTAGAGAAGTTCAATTACAAACATATTAGAAAAAGTTCAATTAGTCAGTCAACTTTATTCAATGTTAAGAATTTGTTTTAATGGGGAAAATTACTTAAAAAAACCAATCATTTCTATAAATATTACTATTATCATCAATATTATTGGTATTTTACCATAGTAAATGCATGTGGTGAGGCAGCCCATTTACAAATCGATGTAAGCGGCCAAATTTTCAAAACTTCTTTGGTTTTTTCATCTAATCGAACTACACTATCCTTTGTTATACCCAACAAACGTGGTATCAATTTATTTTTGCCTTTGATTCGTTCCTAAAAGGAAAAAGATAAAAAATAGACAAAAACGTGTAACAATAAATTAACATTAATGACCAGCATAATAGATACATAACAAAGGACATTGTTCTATTTCGATATAAAACTTATTCTCAGAAAGAAATGACAAGTATATTAAAGAAATTTTAATTCTAATCACAGATTACAATATTTTATGTATAAACGTTGAAGATCTGTGGAAATGAATGTGTACAGATTATTGATGAAGCAGAAAAGATGATAACTATTGAATGTTCAAAAGAAAAAAAAACTATCTAGTGTATTAATCTCCATATTTGTTTCTTTCTTTCTCTCTCTCAGATAAACAAGTTATAAAAGACATTGCTCACACAATGAAGATTCCCAGATGATACAGTTATACTTTGATTTTATTAACTTTTATTTCAAACACAGTTCATATATCCATAATATAGAAATATGATTTGAAATTGAATTCATTTGGTATTGATTGTTTGAATCTTCCCATTGATATTTAGAATTACAATTGATCAGTCTCTTATCGGCATATGTGCATACTGCGCGTATTGCATCCATATAGCCTTAATTCACAGGCATTATAAGCAAAGATGGATAGTGGCTAGTAGTGGAATCCAGGACGCGCGTTTCGTCTTATTTGGGGCTCGTCAGCTGACTTTACCTGCATCTCAGAGTTGATGTTCATTCTGGGACTCGAATCTACTACCTTCGTTTTAAACGCCATCGCGTTATTTACTCAGCTATTGAGTTCTGATAGCCACTTGCCTGTGCGATGGGGTGAAGTCTGACGAGCCCTAAATAGAACGAAACGCGCGTCCCAGATTCCACTGCTAGCCACTATCCATCTTTGCTAATGATTGTTCAGGAAAATATACATAAACAAATCATACAGTATGTAAAGTAATCCATTTATTTTATACCGAAAGTTTCTTTAACTTAATATATTGACAGAAAAAAAAGAATTCTAATAATTGATAGTGACTGGTGCTAAAATAAAAAAAACTACTGGTTTTTCTTTTTATTTACAAAGAACCAGTGACCTGTTTTCTTTTTTAACAATATTGAAAAAGTGGAGATATTGAATAGTCATTTAATTTCATCTCAACTAATGAATACATTCTGAGAAAGAACTCGTATAGTTCTTTATATCTTAAAAAGAGGGTGGCAATCAATCGAATTTTTCAAGGGGAACAATACAAATAAAAAGACAAGGAAGAGAGCTTACTTTTACTAGGAAAAATGTAATTCCATAAGTTTTTAGTGAACGACAAAATTGACAATATTTCACTTTCGCTTCAATTTCACTTAAACCGCATAATTCAGCATGCTGTTGAAAGATTTTCTTTTCTAAACTACGAATTTTTGCATATTCTTTCGGTAGAAAATCTTTCAAACTATAGAAAAATAGATAAAATCATTGACTAAACATCTGAAGAGAACTTTGTGAAGAGAAATGAGAATTAAAGATACATTTATTACCGTTGAATGAGTTCTATAAGAACGAAGCTCAGCCATACCCAGTGTAGAATCAAACTACCCATCAGTTATGACGATGAACACTATACAAGCTCATTTTTTGTGTTTTATGCTGTATAATACTTATCACCGCTAAGCGAAATCAATTATATTCAGGTTACTTTTACTCTCGGTAAACTGTAATGGGTGGTATAGACTAGTCTCGCATTATTCAGATTTACCTTCATGCTGGACAATATGTAGATAATTTCTTCGAATAACGGTTGTATTTCTTTTTTTTAAACATTTAACATTGTTTGGTGACTCTACTTTTTAAAAGGATGTTTTCCTAAGTGAATTTTCTTATTTGAAAAGCTGGTGTATTTTTCCTCATCCATTAGATATTGTGCTTTCCCAAACCCCTAAATTTGTTTAAGGATCACAACTTTTTGCATAACTAACATATAAAGCCAACATGATTTTCAGTTAGCGAATTTTTTCTGAGATCAGTGGCTTAATGTAAAGGTTTTTGTTGTCGACCGGGAAAACATCATCAGGACTAACACAATGTAGAAGTGAGCAATAAGATTTTCAGTTGAGATTAACATACACTGAATATGTATAGCAATCACAATCACCGATCAATGTAAAGGTGTTCACAGATAGGTATTTAATACCTTGAAATGAATAAACTGTAATTACATTAAGCTAATAATTCATTGTTACATCGTTTTTCAATAGTTGATAGTCTATCAAGAACACGTCAAAAACATTCAATTATATTTTCGATAATAAACAGATATACAAGGAAGAGATCAATGAAAAAGCTAAAACAATGGGATGCATTTAATTCCAACATGATGGAAAAGTTCCAGAATCGTAGATATTCAATGTCAGTGAACAAAGGAGATACATCTTTACTATGCAAACAGTTAAAAAACAAAATTGAAAAACGGAAGTCGTGACAACTGAATGAATGAGTCGCTTTCTTGGTCCGTAAATTTCATTTTACATGTGTCTGGAATCCTAGACATCTATCCTTCATTAAAAACAGTGAAAGCACTTATTATTATTTCTGAAGGACATCATTCGTCACGGATCAACCTCGGTTGGTAGTTATACTATGAAAAATCGGAAAGCACTAGACAACTGTTTTTCTTTAATCTCCAAATTCAATCATACTTCATATATTTGCTATTATTTCTTTCATACCTTGTGATATTTTATGAGCAGTAAGTCTAATGAATAAAAACAATTCACTTCGTACTTTTTTTATAGAATTAAATACTAATTCTTATTCTGTGAAACTTACTCTAAAAAATTATGTTTAAATTTCTCAGCAACATAATTTCCAAATTGAACTTGGCATTGAATACCAGCTAAATAGACAGCTTCTTCTAAAGAAACAGGATGAGTTCCCTTCAAAATAGCATCCTTAAGCTAAAAAAATAAAAAAAAAAGAAAATTTATGAAATAACGATATAATAAGTGAAAAAGCCAGGAAAATTGCAGACTCTTCCAACTTCGTTTCTAAATAAACATTCACATTTCTTTCAGTGTTTTTGTTTGTAAAATAACAAAATATGAATTTGCTTTTCTAAATGTAATATGCTAATTTTAAATGTAGAAATATCTATGAATGGCTTATAAAAACCAAAAATCCCAACGTTAATCAATACATTGGTTGATAAATATTAGACCCGTGTTAAAATTTCTAACTCATTTATACTGCCCTATACAATCACAAAAAGTAATCTGAAATGAACAAAGGAAAATCAGTACGAACTTCCAGAGAAATCGAAACTAGTGAATTGTTTTCTCAAAGGTCAGTTTTGCTAGGACGGGTTAAAATGTGAGATAACGTTTGAATTCAATATGTCATAAATTTTATTTTTTTATTCAGTGTGATATATGTTCATTAGGACATATAATTTTGTATTAATTTAGTGAGATATTCATTCAACATGTAAAGCAGCAAACATTTAATATTAAATCGGTGTAATATCTATTCTTTTAACTTCACTATTTCAGTTATGTATACTATTAATAAATTGGTCTGCAAAGGCCATCAAAATCTGTATACAAATGAGTGTATTTAATTAGTGAATAGTCATTGTGTGTTTTTTTATTTTTGAAGGGTGAATAAAATCTTCATTTACTGTTAGTTTCCTTTTTTTACAATGCGTTGCACGAATCGCTATTTTTCCAATTTTACGTAACAATTCGTCACAGTTAATAACAACCTCAATTTGGTGGCCTGCTTGAATATCTGGACTGCCTGTTCCTCCCATCTTGATATTTCAACAAGTTACCTGTGTTTGCTTGTTTTAACACATCATCATGTCTATAAATCACATAACCTAATCAGATGCGTTTATGAAAAGTTTACAACATTTCGTTGTACAGTTTACAAAAAAGTAAAATCAGTAATATCGTAGTGGCTGGCAATATGCATTGAAAAGAATGTGCTTTATTCAGATGTCGATTCCTCAACTGCTAACATCTAACTGGAGATTACGCAATAATTATCGTCAGGATAGATCAAGAAATAAGAAAAGGAAAGATTTTGAAATACTTTGTTCTGGGAATTCTATATTGTACCAAAAATATGATATTGAATAAAGCCAATAATAATAATAATATGAATTGACTTAGAAAGTACGAAAATCGGCTTCTTGTGAAGTTGCATATGTAATAATTCATGTTTTAAAATTAATCAGCGTACAGATTATCAAAGAGTAGATAATTAAATTTAGTTGGCAATTGGTTTTAAAGAAAGTAATAATAAAGATTTATAGCAGACTTTTGTGAGCTACCTACGTTGTCTGTATTACATAAAAATCATACTTACAAACTAGGTTGAGAATACTTGATAATTTATCTAGTTGGGACGAAGAGTTGAACAAAATTTTATGATGTGACAAAAAAATCTTTGTGTTACCGAGAGAGAAAAATTAACACAACCGTTTCCTTTTGAAAAAAAACAAAAAAGATTTCTAATGCTTTACATCAATAGCTTCAGCAGATCTCAGAAAACTTGTGCTTGATTGCTGATTACTCACTTTGAAAGAGTTTAAAGTATTAACTTGAGGATCTAAATATTGTACTGTTTAAAGTAATTCTTTCTATTGACTGATGACTTTTTGGGACATATTCAAAGTTCAAGATAAGCCGTTTTTACTACTCAGTCAATGTAGCTGATTTGATAGGTTTACGTGAATTTATAGACACAGTTGACAGTGACATGAAGAGGGTACTTATCAACGTTTGATGATGATGCGTGTTCGAAATAACGGTCAACTAAGCACATATATGTAAGCATTCTCAAACCATTTTGCAATCATGATTTTTAGAGATTACAGATTGGGCAAGTAGTCGACGAGAGACTGACAAAATAAAATGGATACATATTATTCTGCTCAAATCTTTGATCTTGCTCTCTTCATTATGATGAAGATAACTGTACATAACGTTTGGTTGGGGAAAACAATCTTTAGTTTCCTCAGTAAGTTTCTTAGTACTTCATAAGACTTTTTAATGAAATTTTATATCCGTGTCAACTACGAACTTTAACATAGTGATACTTTTAAACCAGCTCCATCTTTCTAAATCGTTATCGATTGAACGGTTTCTTCAATCCGAAGTAATTCGTACTGGCATACCTTCTGTTTAGAAGATCTACTCCATATATTTAATACAATACAATTACTAAGTAGATATTTATGATCTTGGCTATGACCTACATGTTTTTTTTGTGTGTTAAGTCTAATAGTACTACCATCCATCTATCTAAACAAAAGTTTCAAATGTACAACTATTTAATGATTGGAAAGCGAATGCTTTAATCATTCGTTTAACGGTTCATAATTTCATTTGTATAACATTAACATGATAGACATAATTACTTTATCAAAAGCGGGATTATTATATATTGAATCGATAAACATATATACATACACACAAACGGACATACACACTCAGGAGTACAACTCATTACACAGTAAATGTCAATTTAAAAAAACAAACAAAACAACAATGTATATTATCCTCTTGGCTACTACTAATAACTAACTAGTAGTGATATGTATAATTTTGTATACAAAATACAATTCATTGATTAGCAGTCAAATAAAATCTATAAAGTATTCCAATAAATAATCATAATAACAAAAACGTAAACTCATAAATTTTAACGAGAAAATCATGATTTACGTTTTTTCTTTTAATGTTTAACATTATCTTTAGTCATATAGAATTAGAAAAAAAAACCCAGTCAATTTGTAGAAAGAAGGTTCTAAGTAATGACCAATTATTTTGTTATTCATTTACTACCATGGGAAAATTTTTTTTCTGTAACTATGATACATATATATATATATATTCACATATGTGAATACAATAAAACAAAATTAGTTGTGTAATATATAAATTATTCTGAATAGAAACAGTAGAAAGTTTTTTTTGTGTTCAAGAATTCTAAACTATTTACGTGAAAAAAAACAAATAACCATATGTTTTTTTCCCTTAAAAAACAAGCAGAGAAACAGTAACAACAATAGTTATTATTATTATAAGTATTTTCATAGTTGAAATCATGAGTCAATTGAAGCTAGACCACCATGGAAAACCTGGAAGCACTGAACGACCGTTTCGTCCCATTGTGGGACTCCTCAGAAGTGCGCATTCATGATCTCGCGTCGCGAGATTCGAACCCAGGACCTATCAGTCTCGCAGGCGAGCGCTTAACCTCGAGACCACTGGGCCGGCATCCAACCATGCCTAACTTCAACCGATCCAGCTTCAATTGACTCATGATCTCAACTATTGAAATTATTATAATATCCACAAAATCCCATCTGATACTAATCAGCATATGCTCACCAGTGACTGACTTCAAATGAAATTTCGTGCAGTTCTAGTAAGAATCAGTGACCAGTGGAGTTCAACTGGGTCCGTTATGAGATAGTAACTCACTGAAGACGATAGTGGATGTGTCGCTCAGTTTCGTCGATCGTTTGAAGTTAGACATTAACACCGTTAGATGCTGGCTCAGTGGTCTAGAGGTTAAGCGCTCGTGCGCTAGATTGATAGGTCCTGACTTCGGATCATGGATGTGAACTGCCGAGGAGTCCCACAATAGGACAAAATGGCCTTTCAGTGCTTCCAGGTTTTCCATGGTGGTCTAGCTTCAAATGACTCATGATTTCAACTATTGAGACAAAATAGAAGCTCATAAATTCAAAAAGTAACATCATTATCATGAAGTTTGATTTAAGTACATTCACAAAAATTAACCATTAATGTAGGTGCTACCTATACATTTCATGGAAATGATTTAAAAAAGGCCCATATTAGTCCACTGCCTCCAACAACTACCACATTACAAAACAACAGATATTAAACTATGAAGTGTGAATGCTATAAAAACGTTCAGCAAAACAGTGTGAAAAATGCGGCGATTGAAGATATTATTAACAATAATAATGGTAGAAACAGAGAGTAACAAAAGAATAAAAAGCTGGCTTAACACAGGTCAGACCAATGATTAAAGATTGACTGAAATGTCATTCGTAAAATAGACTCTAATGTTTGACCTTATGACGATTATCCTAAACGAGTTTTTAGTTGGATTAATTACTTACTCATTTTATCTGGCACGTGATTTTTCAACAAAACGAAATTTACAACAACATAGTTCTTCGTAACCATTAATTAAAACAAAATAATTAAGATATGTACGACACTTCAGTATGATCATAATTGTCAGCAATTAACCATTGACAGATATTTTTCATTCCTACGTATCTTTTAAATTCTTTCCTCATAACTTCACTATTAATCTAACTTGGAATTTTCACTAGCATGAATTAATTAAATAGAAAATGAAAAGCACTTTAACCACATAAACACGCATATTTAATGTATAATATTAAGATTCTACCATCAACTTGATTGGCGGCCTGTTGAAACATCTGGGCTAACTATTCCTGCCATCTAGATATTTCAACAAGCTATCTAATTTTGTTTGTTTTAATACATCATTATGGCTATTAATCGTACAACCTATTCAGGTGCGTTTCTAAGATATGTACAATCTCTCGCTGTAAAGGTTACAAAAGGCCTAATTACAGATATTGCGGTTGCTCGCTGGTAATATGCAGAGAAAAGAATGCACATTATTCAGATGTCAATTGACTGGACTGCTATCTTCTAACTGGTGATCACTCAATATTTATCGTCAGGATAGACGAAGAAGAAAGAAACGGAAACTTATTGAAATACTTTGTACTGAAAATTTTATATTGTACCAAAAATATAATATTGAATAAAGCTAATAATAATCTATTTACTTATTTATTTGCCAATTTGCAGATTTCCAACCCTCATTATCATCTATTATATAATACATTAAAGTGTATACATATTACTTGTAGTTTGATTACTCAGTAGCACTTTAATCGATATTATACATATTAAGTCAAAAATATAAATAACGTGGGTAAACGTAGATAATTACCATCACATCTATTTATCTTATGTACTAATGTATATATTATGTCTTTAACATGTGATCGACAATCAACTCTTACAACAACAACAAGATGATGATGATGATGATGATGATGATGATTAAATAAAACGTAAGCACGAGAAAAAAAAAGAATAATTTAAGAAATCCATGTTAATTTATAGAATCATATGATTCAATCATTTCTTCATTGTTTTTTCTTTTTGTTTAAATTTTTTAAAAAAAACGTTTTAGTAAATGTAATAGAAATCAACATGTACATACATGTATACATATATACATTTTCTAGTACAGATAATGGGAAAAGAAACATCTTCGTTATTGTATAACCATCATGATTAAGATTAAGAATAGTCAGTGGTATAAAAAAAGTACTAGTACTTCTTTGAATTAACTAACTGGTAACTACTCACTAATGATAAACGATATAATCTAATTGTGTGTATATGTATATTTGCTACTTGAAATTTATTCACCAACACAAAACATATGACCGTCTTTTAATTAGTTTAAGAGCAAAATATAACAAATAAATTCTCTCTCTATCTTTCATTGTTTTCTGTTAGATCTGATTTTATTCTGTTTTTATTTAAAAAAGAAAAAAACAATCACATACATTGCTTTTTGTTATAATAATTATTATCATATTTTTTAGTAACGAGGAAGGAAGAAAAAGAAAAGAGAATAAATACTAGTTATTGTACAAAGTATAAATGTTTATGATCATGTTTTTTTTACAATATTCCTACATCAAGTTTCAACGAATAACATAATCAACGGAAATCATTTAAGATTTAAATGAAATAATTGTTGTTCTTTCATATTTCGAACGGTTTTAAGTTATTTGGGAAAAAAAATATACTTGATAATGAAGCGATTAAATTGACTTAGTATGTTCAACTTGTTACTTTTGTTTGTGTTACAAGCTAATCTCTCGTTTACAGTTTCATCAACCGAATTACCATAATCATTATCACAGATCTAGTGACTAACATCAGTTTTGTTTCCTTAGGGTCAGTGATCTCAACATGTTCGGAAGTAAATTTTTGAAGAGGTTTACGATACAACAAGTTATTTTACTTTCATCAAGTATGTTTCGAATCAACTGACCGATTGTAATCCCATGAAAAAATATGACCATAAACTGGATAACATATAGAGTTTTTATAAATTCTGTGGTTAGATTAAAATAAAAGCCAAACATTTTCATCCATATAGGTACCAGAACTCGGTCATATGTTATCAACAACCTACTTCGGTTAATACAACTAGAAAAGCTACGTAAAATGATTATTATACTGACTGCAATACACCACTTTTTATTATTAAGTTTATGAATAAGCGAAATCAATTCCATGGGAACTATTTCAGAAGGATGTAAGAAAAACATATTCTAACTATTTTCTCGATATTAATTTAACGTACTTGGGAAACTCAATTTTAACCAAGGTGTCTACTAAACAGGAATCATATCATTTGGATAAAAAAATTCTTACTAAATAGAAAAAATAATTAATGTTCATTATTTGACTAATATGAGATTTTATGAATAGTAAATCGGACAACAATTCACCAAAAACGTTTTCACATCAAATAATCACTGGTTATGTTAAATACAAGCAAAATTACAAAATTACATAAAAATAATGTTCACAAATTTCCGACAATAGAATTTACAAAATAGTTTACAGCATTTTTCGGACGAACATGATGGAATATAATCGCTGACTATAAAAACAATGTATTTGGTATTAGTTGCTATCAGTTAGAATGTAATGTAAGAAACTGTATGCTAATTTACAAGTATCTGTATTTTATTATACATCCGTAAAGCCAATTGGTATTTATTACGCTCCGATATATATATATATATATATATATATATATATATATACGACTCCTGTGGTGTGCATCAGTGACCTTGTCAGCGATAGAACACACGACCTTCAGGTCTCATAGTAGACAGTTAATCATTAAAACAACCGGATGGAAATCCAACAGTACAATTACAAATACAATCACTTTGTGGTATAGGAGCGATGATTATCTAATGTCATTTACGACAAATGTTTCTCTCTCAACAACATAAATTTTTCAAAATAGTATTATAGTTGGACTATAGTTTTAAGATAAATGGAAACATAAGAATTCTTTCCTTTGTAGACATCAATGTCACGGATGAACTTGATGGTTTCAAGCAAATAGAACATCATGTACAAATATAAATAAATATAACTTTTGCGATATAACAATGAATAGAAAGTTGTATTTCAGACGTTTCATGACTTAATGTAAGCCAATTCTTGAGAGTACATAAAAACTGATTATTTAGAGAACATTAACATACTTGAACGTATAATAAGTTTAATTGCACTGGATCACGAGCATCCACATTCATATCAGAGAAGAAATATCGACGTTTCAATAATAGAATTTCCTTTTCATCTACGCCTTGTTGTCTTAAACTCTGCGATGGATTAAGCCATTCCACTGAGAGGTGAAAGTGGAAAAGAGGAAGACAAATGAAAACACAATTACTATGATAAACACAAAATATAACAGATTTTTCTCTATGGTAAAAACAATTATATTTAATATGATGAAGTAAGAAAATACGGTTGAAACAGATTTTTTCTATAAGTTAACTTATTATGGAAACCAATTAAGCAGTTAAATTATTGTTATTTAAGTACATTTTAAATTATAAAACAACACAACAAACGATTCGTTGATTATGGAATTTGTTTGTTGCGAATCATCGAGTGGAATAATTTAATGAGACATACAATTTTGAAAGTGTTACATGTCTGGTGGTAAACTGCAAATACTTTAACAAATAGTAAATTTCTAGCAGATTACTAGACTACTACTTTATACTCATCAATAGTTGAAAACTAGAAAGTGAAAAGAAAGATGGAAATTATGGAAGAAAATACTTGCTTCGACATTTAGCTTACGTAAAGAAGACAAATGCATTTATACGATAAAAGGTAAACTTGCAAATCTAGAAGTTTAGAGAAAGTAAATTTAACTTGGTAACAAACTTAGCAGTCACTGTCAATACCAAGGTTTGATTTGATAGTTTCAAATACATTGAAATTTAAATAGTCTATTAAATAAACTTGCATAAAGTTAATTCGGTTATTTATTTATTTACCCTCAAAAAGTGGTTTAAACTACGACACGAAACGTCAGAAATACAAATTTCTACTCATGGGAGCATATCACAAATGCATCATCTTTTTATTATTACACTCAGCAGTTTTTTAATGAAGACGAAGAGAAATCTGTTAAGTTGTTGTTTTTTCTGAGCATTTCCCATAGAACTCTAATTACTAATTTTGCCTTATTTACTTTGGTTTATATAAGATATTTAATTTGATAAATTCAAGATAATTCATACAATGATCAAATTAAGTAATTTTTACCAACTGATATCTCTCAAAATATATGTAAAATTAAACACTATATATGTATTTTTCATATTCATGAAATCAGTACCGAATATAATAAAGATACTATAAAAGATAAATCACCAATCACTATTACTTGATGAATAAATACACCCGATTTGTTAAAACCTAATTAAGCAACAATCAACTCGTCAACATGTCAGTATTCTTTGTTCTATTATATTCAATTAGAAAGATTGGAGTAATGCAAATTCTTTGCATCACTGCCATACAAAACTAATTGGACTTCATTAATTTACCAAGGTAATTACCATCTTTATGCATTCTGTATGAGTACAAAAGTGAGTTCATAAAAAGAATAATATACAAGACTATTGTTATAATTATCACCACTATTATTAACTCACTATCATCATCGGTGTGTAACTTTCGTTTTAATTTCTCCATTTTCTCTTGATCTCTCATCAATGTACCAGTATGATGATGATGACCAGTTGATCTTTTCAATGTATTTGTACGCTCTCGGTCGGTTTCATCGCGATCACGAGCCAAAAGATATTCTTCATAATTATAAATACCTATTGATTGATACAATTCAATAGAAACAACATAAACGACGTTATGACAGATACTACTGGCCATTTCGAAGTTTGGAAAGTGATTCTATATGGTTCACAATTTATTTTCAAAACTAGCGAACATCAACTGAAAAACCATTGAGATGTAAGAAGTATTTGCATTTTGTTTTAATTGAGTCTATCGACACCAGTTTTCCTAATACAGAATAAGACTAAAATCACTTATCTGATATTAAGTAGTGTGTTTTTCAACTATTTTATTCACGATCATAGTTTGATACTTACAGAAGGTCACCAGTCACAACAATACACATGAACAAGTAATATCATTTTATTTGATTGTATAAGTTTTTTTGCTTATTACAAAATGCAAAATTATTTCTCTAGAAATTAATGGTCAACACTAAACTCAAAGTGATTTGTTATATTCAAATTCATTCAGCAATTCATTTTCATTTGAATAGCAATAAGTGTTGCGATCAGAAAACTTCTTTTTATGCAACCTACTTATACGGATAGATATAAGTAGTACGTCGCAGGAAATAGAAGCAGAATTCTTACTGGCAGAAGAAAATGTGGAGAGAAAGAAAAACGGAAAGAGATCGGAATAACAAAAGCAATGGAAGAACGATGGAGTTTGTAAGCGTGAACTCAAGAAAGGTGTGCAAATAATGTATTAAATGTATGGTTTTCTATATATTACGAAGACACTGTAATTTTGCACTAAACAATATATTGGTTATTCCCACCAAGTCTTCGTTCACTACAGTATGAATTTCCTCTGTGTGAGTCTTCGTTCGACAAAATACTAGTAGTGGTATTAATACTAATACTAGTGATTGCTATTGAAGGAAGTAAGCTACAGAACTGGACTGTACATTTCGCCAGCCAATACTCGATCCTTTATGTTTTCTTTTTAATTCTTCAATGTGCATTTTATTTTCATCCAACAAACACTTCTTCTTGCTAGTTTATCTCCAATTACTCGCATATTGCAAACAACAATGATAATGATAATAATAACTATGTTTTCCTATTTCATTGAATTACCCACTCCCCGATATTCAATTTGGACAAAAATGATGAATAGAGATATAATCAAAGGAATTGTTACAATGGCAAAAAATCTATTTATCTATCCAATCAATTTCAGTAAGAGAATTCTATTATTATTATTATTATTATTCACTTAGTCAACTCCACTCATATCAATGAGATCGATCGCTTTTGTTTATTTTTATCCCAAAAAAAAGAATGCTTATCGATTAAATTTCAAACTTACAATTAAAAAGATTTTTTCCAGAAATTTGGAAAAATCGAGAAATCTGAATTGTCACTGTAAATCGACTAGTTTAATCAATGAGAAAATATAAATCTTTAAGTTTTAATCAATTACGCAATTATTGTGTGAGCAATGAAAGAGTGAAATCATTGTTAAGCCTGGATGACAGACATATTCCGACCACATCCCAACCAACGCCGATATCATCGCTCAATGTTAGCCGGTGAAGGAGAAGGTAGAAGAAAAGGTAAGGGAAGCCATTTGACAAACATATATACATGTCAGGCTCTACATTGATTTTAATAATAAGCTATGCTATATCTTGAATTGGCTTAAGTTGGAAATGTGCACTACTAAGTTCCAACTAATAAATATATACGTTAATTATTTGAAACCAATACATACATGAAAAGACCTATCAATAATTACATTTAATATATATTATTATATGACCATTTCTAGAACGGAATAGCTGGGAAGTGATGATAACGGTTTAAAGATAGAAATGTAATAGTCATCTTATTCAACGTTTATTCTAAACAAGACAAATAACTTCTGCGACCGTTAGAATGCGGGAAGTAATTATAATTTGGAAGTAATGTAGCTGGATACCGATCGTGCTGTTACTAACATATTCGTAAGTAACTTAGTCTTCATTTCTAGATGATCTCTTTTCTAAAAAATATATTAGAATCTCTTAATTTCTTTTTATTTTATGCTGTTAATAACCAGTCAATACGCATTCTGTGACAAGTTTTAGTTACGATTACTTTAATATAATGGTGTAATGTTGCGACTATAACTTAACTTACTTTGAAAAAGTTGTGCTAATTATCCTATCTGACAGATCTTCAGAAATCAAAGCCAACATATTAATATTTTAAAAACTGGTTTTCTATGTGAATTCCATTTAATATTGTTTTTACGATGACCAGAAAAACCGAGAGCATTTATACAAATCGTATTCGAGTAGAAAACTTGACTATTTGGTTGAGTCAAGACTAAAAATGTCTATGCATACAATCCATTCTGGTAGAGCCACAGTTAACCATCTATTGAAAGGGGTTGGACTTTACTTATAACCACTTGGATTGAAGAATTACCTCTACACACTTCCTGAACACAAAAAAGCAATATAATATGGACCGACGCTGTAGTGGCTGAGGCTTCCGACTTTCAGCCACTATGCTCCAGGTTCGAACTCATCCCTACCTACTACAATTTGAGAAACCAAATAATACAAATATTCTTCACACTTAAAGTGAGGCTCAAAGCCAAATGAACAAATTTTAACCTTAACAAGATATCAACATCATAAGTCAAGTCTCTATGTAATTGTGTGGTGTTTATATGAATCAATGATTTCTTTCTATTGATAACCGTTTTGATTTTGAATTTCAAATACAGTGCATTCGTTCATGCTCATCTAATACTTCTTCATTAAATTGCGTTATTGCTGGGATTACTAGTACATACTATAATTCAAATACTCTTTAACATCAGAAATCGCAATTCCGATAGTTAAATAATTTGTGAGCTGAATGGAAATTCTAGTTTCTTGAACTACTCAGCCTCTACCACTCTACGAATAAACATTAATTGGTGTCCAAATGTATAAGATAGACATGTCTCATGATCAGATCCCATACATTTTACATTTTACCCCAATTTTCTTTTAGAAAATATATATCAAAATAGAGAGAGAGAGAAAGGAATACCAGTTACAAAATCAATTAAACAGGACTGTTCACAATAAAAAAAAAGAATGATTACTAAACCATACAGAGCTGAATATGAAACTAGCAGTGTCTAGTGTGTGTTTTTGATTATCCGAGAAAAAAATCATAACAATTATATTAATTAGAAACGAGATAATTAATTTTACTAAGATGCTCTTACTGTCAATAAATCAATTCATCATAAGTGAACATCTTAATAAATATTGACAATCTATCTCTGTCTACATACTTAATAGTTATCATAAATTATTACTTTTAACTGACAAATATATTAAATTTTAGAAGTGGAGAAAAACAAAAGAAAAAGTATTTATGTGAGAATTGTTTGTACTTTGTTTAATTTTCATTCAACGTCACTATCTAATTTGAAACAGCATAATACGATCTAGTTAGTATTACTGATAAGTAATACTACTACTATCAACAAATAATCTTTCAAAAAGTGAATCCAGTTGTCATATGATTTACATCAAATTAATCGATAAATGGATTAGTAAATCAATAAAGCATTCGAAGAAAAATTACAGCAAATGCTGTGATTGATGCATCCTTTCCCTGTCTCCCTCGCTCTAAATGATGATAATGATTTATTTTTAATTTATAAAAGGTAGCATAATATCGTTTATTCTACATAAGAAACAAGGTTGGTATAGTATACATCTGAAAAACATATTAAACTTTCAATATTTAAAAAAAAGTGTTTTTCTTTTCACCCTCGAAACAAATAGCCCAAAATTGAAATGAATACATCCTTAAATCAGTGTATCGATCAACAATTTGGTAAAAACAGTGAAAAGAAGATATATGTAGTGGTATTTTTGTCCAAGAATGTGGATGTGTGTGTCTGTTGAATCTAAATTCCCCCAAACCACCCCCTATACAATTGGCGGTGCTACTATTAATAATAATATGAATAAACTAAATCCTTGAAACATTGTACTTTTAAGAAGATACTTATTGTAAATTATTAAAACGTAAACATATAAAATAATCCCTAATAATCAATGTTTTTACCATAAATAAAATCATTTTAGGGATTTTTTAAATTTTTATTTCAGTTATTTGAATGTGTAAACACGTAATTATGAACCATATTGAAGATAATTAAGCAGTGCAACAAACCTGAACAATCATAATATCGATCATTTGAAAAGTGTAAAACACTGTAAAAATTTATTAATAACTATTGAGTTAAATTACATGATAAAGATGAAAATGTGAATGGTGAAAGCATTGATTGTTTATCGTACACTAGACTGATAGGCTTTCTATAAACGTTGATTACTACACTTTTTACAAACAGCTACTAAGCCTTGATTGTTGTTCATAATTGAAATTTCACTTTTCTAACAGATTATAACGTTTTTATGACAGATTGATTTGCTTCGATAAGTTGCAAATAAAGAAGTAGATATTGTCAGAAAGGGTTTTGTGGAGATTTAGTATCTTCATAGTTGAAAGCGTGAGTCAATTGAAGCTAGACTACCAGAGAAACCTGGAAGCACTGAAAGGCCGTTTCGTCCTATCGTTGGACTCGTCAGCAGTGCACATCCACGATCCCGCCTCACAAGATTCGAACCCAGGACCTATCAGTCTCGCGCCAGAGCACTTAATCACTAGACCACTGAGCCGGCATCCAACGTAGTTAATGTTTAACTTCAACCAATCCAAGAAGTTGAGCAACCGTTCACCAATTGTCTTCAGTGAGTTGATATCTCACGACAGACGTGGTCTGAACTCCACTAGTCACTGCTTCTCACTAGAACTCCTGGATTTACCTCTCAAAGTCAGTCACTAGTGAGCATATGATTATTATAATTATTATCAGAAGGGGTTTTGTGGAGATTTAGTATTTTCATGGTTGAGACATATAAACTCATTGAAGACAATTGGTGAACGGTTGGATTGATAGGAGTTAGACATAAACACCATCGGATGCCGGCTCAGTGGTCTAGTGATTAAGTGCTCTGGCGCGAGACTGTTATGTCCTGGGTTCGAATTTCGCGAAGCGAGGTCGTGGATGCGCACTGCTGAGGAGTCCCACGATAGGACGAGACGGCCGTCCAGTGCTTCCAGGTTTTCTATGGTGGTCTAGCTTCAATTGACTCACGCTTTCAATTATGAAAGTAGAAATTAAATAAGTTTGTTTCTTTATCGGATATTTTTTGGGAATTATGACGAAGTAAGAAGTTTTTATACCGAAAATCTTTGAAATAACTTCTGGTTGAGGGTAATCAATGTCATACAAAAATGGTAAAATTGTATTCATACAAGTTAACTTAATTTCATTATAATTTAGCTAGTTTATTGGGCTATTATTAATTTATGATTTTTACTGTTCAATTCTGTGGGATATATATATATATATATATATATATATATATATATCTTAGCTGTTCGAAATAGACGTACGAGATAGCATGACTAGGACAATAATAATAAAGATTTGTTACCGAATTAGAAAATTTTTAGTATTCTATCAGTTTTTGTTGAAATTAGACTATTCATCATAGCTTTAGAAAAATACGTTCCTCATTGGTCATAAGTCATAGCGACAGACTGTAAAGAGAAAATATATAACATCATCGAAAATGTTGTTCCACTTTCCACTAATCACTTTTATTAATATGCCTTCTTTGATAGTCACCTTTATCAGTGCTCGCCCTTGTGAATGGATACCCTTCCAATAGACATACCCTGGTAAAAATGATTTACCGTACTATTTTCTTATATTCCTATTGTTTAGTTGACTTATTTTTTATATCGAAATGACTCGACTAGCAAATGTATGATCAGCCTGTTTAAAATACACCACGCTGTTATATCATGTGGTTGTGACAAACTTTATCTTCCCCTAACATTATCTAAATTTATCAAAACGACTGGATGTTTTACGAAAGCAAGAATAATGATGGTAAAAATCGTTGGCAATAATGTGGTTGACAAATTTGTAAAAGGGAAATACTAATGATTGGAAATTCCAGTGTGTATTTAAATAATTATATCTTTCATTTGTAATAGTGAATTCTAATTTAAATGATGAATACAGATTGCAAATCGTTTCGTTTTAGGACAGATTTGAATAAATGTATATCCGGATAGTTCACATCATTTGAAGAAGACTCAGATTGAGGGATCGTGGTTGAGATATCCTAATGAGTCCCACACTAGGACGAAATGGGTGTTCAGTGCTCTCAGGTTTTCATTGATGGACTAACATTGATATCAATGAAATTCGACAATCTCCACAATCATGTACTGAAAACAGGATGACTTTTAACATATTAAAAACAAAACTCATATTTGATAAGTTCGACATCAGTTTTATTAATGAGCGATGGAATACTGTCAGTTATTCGGATATAAATGGTGTCAAACCTTAACGCCCAAATACATTTTTATAACATGAAGATAATATGGCGAGACAATAATTAATGGACAAACCAATTAAATTTTAGTTAGTACATTTTGGATGTCGGCGTTAAATCTATTCACCTATTTGGCTAAATACTATTTCGGCATTATAGCTGATGCCAGCTTGTGTTGAAAACATTAAATGTAATTCATAATCCTAACATTCAACCGTATGTCTAAATTCTAATTTATCATACTAATATATAACTCTCATTTAACCTTAGTAAGTAGGTGGACATTACAAGGGCACTTTAGCGTTGCTGAAGGGTCGTCCATAAATTATAGCCTGATCGTTAGTTCTACTGAATTATAATAATACAATACTTATTCTATCAACCAATTACATTGATCAATAATAATAATGAACTTAATTTGACGAGAACAGAAAAAAAGTAGAAAAAACATGTGAAAAAGAAATTTTCAGCAAACGATTAGTTAATTTGTTTTACTGAAACAAACACACTAATTAATCACTTGTGGCATTGAACAACTGTTCGTTCATAATTCAAGTTTACAGATTCTTTCTGACTTGTTTTTTTGCTTCTTAAGACTATACACTAGAAATATTTCGTTAGCAATTTAAATATCTGAATCTATTTGAATGAAATAGGTGAAGTAAATAATATGTAAATGGATGGATGGATATAATGACGAGTAAATATTCAGTAGTAATGCATCTATTATAAGATATTTGGTTTGTCTTAAAAGTTAACAACCAGTACACACCTTAAAAATGATTAAATTTAACATAGAACATTATTATTTAACCAAACTGAAGCTGGTGTATAAGAAAGTTACAAGCCTATGGAATGAAGGAAAATCGTTAAACTAATGAACTACATGTAAATGTATATCTATATATAAATTCTTACCCATTTTAGTGCATATCATTAACATAAGTTCAGCTACAGTTTTACTATCATCCACTTTCAAAGTTTTTCGAGTTCCATCCATTGTACGAATATAAAGCCATCGATATCGATATCTATATTCTACTGTATCCTGTACACGTTAAAATACAATAAAAAAACAAATGAATAAATGAATAATTGTTGGGATTTTTTATTCCTCAAAGAATAGAAATTAAATAAAATTACATCACATTATAATGTACATAACCAAATATGTGTATTTATATATCAACGTATCCCATATAGACGACTTTAATAGAAACCACAAATATTTCATGAGAATAAATAGCAGTAATATGTATGACATTGGTAGACTACAGTGCAATCGGCAGCTTTTGAACGAAAGTGTAGTGTTCACTCAAATTACTAGAAGATATGATTATGTCTATCAAAATAATAATAATAATTTTTCGGAACTATGATATGTATTGTATAAATATATTTTTCGTTAAGAAAATGAATTGAAAATGTTAGTACTAGTTCTAGTGAGAAGCTGTGACTAGTGGAGCTAACCCATGTCAGGTAGAGATAAGTATCTACCTCAGACAGTGGAAGATGGTCGCGCAAATTCATGGATTGATTGAAGTTGGACATTAAGACCGTTGGATGCTGGCTCAGTGGTCCAAAGGTTAAGTGACCCCGCGTGCGGGATCGTGGATGCGCACTGCTCACAAGTCCTATACTAGAACGAAACGGCCGTCCAGTGCTTCCAGGTTTTTAATGGTGGTCTATCATTAATCGATTCATGATCACAATAAAATACTCAATAATCTCCACAACCCTATATTGACAAAAAAATATGAAAAAAAGTATACTTGTCAATCAATCATAATTGTCTTACATTGTGCTCGTGGTAAACGCGAAAAAATTACTTATAATCATTGAATTCACTGTTTTTTTGTTAACAAGCTTATTTAAACAGTGCTACACACATATAAGAAGATCAATGACGTATTTCTACATGTCCTATACAACTAATACTATTGCAATTACAACTTGGAAGCAACTAAATTACATACTCAACTACCGTTGTATAACGAATAAATTTTCATACATCACAGGATGTCAGCTATTATATATCAAGAAAAAGAAAGAACTGATAGATAATTTTACACATTACTACATGATAGTGTCGGAGAAGAAACAAGAGAGAAAAAGAGAGAGGTAACGAATAAAATTCATGGAAGAGTAGTTACCAAAAACCATTACTATTAACACCCAGATAATAGTCAACATTTTCAAAGATAAGATGGTCATAAATAATTCATTCTGTAACTGACAAATGAACCAAGTTTTTATTTCGACAATAAGCAAATAATGGAAAAATGTATGATTTTGAAGAATAATCTCGTACAAATCAGTGCGTATGTAGATGACTTAGAGCACACGAAATGAAGTGTATTCACTTCATTCCATAATCTTCATTATTCTTGTATGAAATAGTTTTTAATTCAATTCTTTTGCTTTCAACAGCGTATATGAATAATTACTGTTCAGTAAGTAAGCAATAATAATAATCAAAGTCATTTATTAATTAAGAGTCCGATCTGCAGTTGCATTTTAAGTGTACGGATCACTGATACTACAAAACTGACCAGATCGCAATAGGTAAAAGTGTGTTCTAAACAGAGATCAATGGTTACCACATTAAGTTTTCATGTAGCGAGTAAAACTGACAGATATGTACAGGTATTTTTATAAAATAACCACTCATTTATTTACAAGAACAGACTATTTATATTAAATAAAGAAACAGAAAAGTGATGATTGATTCCAATAAGAAACTGAATAGTCTTCAATTAGCTCAGATGATGATAATTATATAACAAACATGATGTCTCTTAAATCTAAGAGGACAAGTGAGAAGTGCCCGTCAAATGATATATGTATGTATGATTGAATTTTCCGTGAAAGGGAAATGAAGAAACAAGTAATGAAATCAATGGTCATCAATCGAGCATGATAAACAAATCACCTATCAGATATCAGAATGAGCTACATATTTCAATATTTTTTACATGAAGGTTTTATTAACAGGAAATTGGTTCATGAGGCAATGAATCTTCATCAACTGAGGTTGTTGGAACACGTATTACATATGCTCAACCACCGCCT